ACTGAGTTTGATCGTGAGCATTTTATGCTTAGACCATGGACCTTATAATAATGTATTATACTGTCCATGCTTAGACTAAGCATAGATAATCAGTTTGATTTCTTGATACTTTTGAAAAAGATAAATGTGCAATTAATTAATATTTGTCATCTATTTATTTCGGGATGACAGCCTCACTGTTGACTTGTTTGTTTAATACTGTGAACAGATCGAGTTTATGAAGACATCAAATTAACAATACTCACAAAGATATCACAAGAAGAAACAGCTCCTTTGGCTAATATCAGTCGCAGAAAGGTGCAATATATTTAATTGATCAATTTTATATTTCATGAAAAATCCAGGGTGACATCAAAGGGGTTTTGGGGAATGACCTCCAAATCGAGAAGGATAATATATTAAGGAATTTTATAGACTATCTGACTGAACTCCAACATTAAAAGGCTTTTCAGGGGGGTCTGGTGACAAATGGTTAGCGTGTGCGCAGTATATCATTAGGTCTGTCATTGAGTCAACTGGTGTGGTTTCAATTCCCCGATTGTACGTGACAAGGAGTAGGGTCGCCTGTCCAACTTCATGGGTTTGTCCGGGTCCTCCGGTTTCCTCCCACTGCTATAGACCCCTGTGCGCAAGTGATTTATTGAAATAAAATTGAACCACATGTTAGTCCCAAAATGACCTAGTTTGTGTTGAGTGGACTATAAACCCCATTTCTCTCTCTCTGTTTAAAAGGTTTTTCTGTTGTGCTAGTGGTTCAAATTTTATTTTTGCACATGGTGTGATGGTTTGGCCTTTTTGTTGGGTTTTTTGTGGATCTGCATGATTGCTTTCTCCTGCACTTAGCATGATATATGTTGTACCTTGTTTGTTTATTTGCACATCTGCTTCCAGTTCCACCTAGAAATTTGTTTACATATACCAAAATTAACTTTAGGTTCAAATAATATTCTATTTTTAAATGCTGTACTTGTAAAGAATTGTAGAATTTAAATTTTAGATATTTTCTTCTATAGGAATTTTTCAAAAAGCTTTGACATTTCTGATTGAAATGCAAAACTTTTATTGTTAAATTTCATTGTTTTAAAAGCAATACGCCATAGAAAAATAATTTTAGAATTAATATTGACCAGCTTTTTCTTTTTCTATAGTAGAAATTTTTCATAAGCTTTCAAATTTCTTATTACTTTTTAATTAATATTAAACTAATATGCAAGAAAGTAAATATAATTTGCTTTTACTATTAAGATTGAGAAAATTTATGTGATAATTTTAGTGGATTTGCCTGTAATGGCCTATCCATCCGTCATCCAAAATTCTTATTAACACTCAAAATTAGTATCTAATCTCCGTGCAAAGTTGATTTTGTTGATTGGAACAATTCATTTGATTTTCACCATTTTCTTGTTTTAGATTATAATCCCAAACTTTAAACTTAAAGGAGCATTATGGGAGATTAGATAAAGAGTTGACAGTTCTCACTATAATAGTTAAAAATTAAAAAATAGATAATGTAAAGAGAATATGCTGAAAATTTCAGTCAAATTGCTCCACTGAGCCGAGATATTAGCGATTGAATTTTAGGCCTACCCTCGATCTTCATTACTAAAGTTGAATAGATAAAAAAAAACAAGGTCTCGATTATCCATTTTGATGTTAAATCATCCATCACAAATCCAAAAAATATCCCAGACTAGCGCTGGCATCGAGAGTTGACTATGGTCTGGATAAGTTAATTAATGTCTAATTGATAATTTAGATAACATTTCAGTCCTAAAGAAAGACCTGCAATAGGCAGATTTAGCATAATGTCAATCTCCCAAACAGAGTTGTCTCCCCTTGCAGTTCATGCTGGATAGTGAGACTTGTGTGGCGAATGGTATAATGTATGTTTAAAAAATTATTAACTCATGTATTTGAACTAAAATTATCAGATACACCAAAATGGCTAAGTGTTGGGGAGAAAATTGTGCAGATGAACAGAAAAAGGAAATCGGTAAGATATTGATTGATTTCGGTGACAAAATCATTGGCTTAACTCACTGGCTAGAATAGCAGAAAAACTCATTTGCAGCTGTTAAATTTTCTTAGGGAGGGCAGGGTACTGACAGACTGCGACTGTGGATAAATCGATTGGTTGGTTGTTTGAAATTCAGGTCAGCCATCTAAATTGGACAATGTTGAAGTTACTATATTCACGAGTTGGAATAGAAAGAGCATTTGCGGCAGTTAAATTTACCAAATTTTTTACCGCTGGTCGCATTTCCGTGGACTGTAAAGGTGGAAACACTGTTGTCTGGACATACTTTTCCTTTTTTATGGGGGTGGGGGGTGGATGGCCGAATGGTTAGCATGTGTGCGTTGTATCATAAGGTTTGTCATTGAGTGAACTGGTGTGGTTTTGATTCCCCAGTTATAGGTGACAAGGAGTAAAGACGCCTGTCCAACCTTGTGGGTGTTCTCAGGTTCCTTTGGTTTCCTCCCACTGCTAAACACCCTGACGCACAAGCGAATTATTGAAAAAAAATTGAACCATATGTGAGTCCCGAAATGATCTGGTTTGAGTCAATCTCTCTCTCTCTCTCTCTCTCTCTCTCTCTCTCTCTCTCTCTCCTTTTTGCATGGACATGTTACCATAGAGAAATAAATATTGTCATGTAATTCTCAAAATGACCAAAGTAATGCACAATGAAACGATCAACCTCATTCTATACCATTCCATAAGGGGGGATATGGTGGCTCAGTGAGTAAGATGTTAGCTCACTAACCTGGAGGGAGCCACGGTGGCTAGGTGGTTAAGACGCTGGCTCGCTAGCCTGGAGGTCGGCTGTTCGATCCCAGCATTGGCAGATAAAGTTCATCCAGATTTTCCGACGTGGTTTCCCCTTGTCAGTGGTGCAGAACGGAGGGCCTGACAAGGACAGCTGTCTAGTCCTTCGGAATTTTCCGGCGTGGTTCCTCCTTGTTGATGGTGCTAGACGGAGGGTCATTTGGATGGCACGAAAAATTGAGGTCCCATTTACACATTGGCGTGCATGTAAAAGATATCTTTACAGTTTGATTCGATGTAATAGTAGGCTGTAGTGCCACTGTCCGGGCAAAATTTCCCTCACAGCACACTGTATGGCGTATATGCCTGTCTTCATTAGCCCAGTCGGAGCAGAACAGTAGGATGTTAAACCCTATTTCATTTCATTCCATAAGTAGAGAATTTTAGTTTATTATTACTTACACTGAACTATATTTAGAAACAATTGTCTTATTTTGTACTAGATTGCCACTGTCGGGGCAAAATTACCCTCATAGCAAACTGTGTGGCGTATATGTCCATCTTCATTAGCCCAGTCGGAGCAGAACAGTAGGATGTTAAACCCCATTTCATTTCATTCCATAAGTTGAGAATTTTAGATTATTATTACTTATACTAAACTAGAAACCTTATTGTCTTATTTTGTACTAGATTGTTAGTCATAATGATCTACCAATGGGACCAGAGCTTACAGATGAAGTTGAGGATAAGTTATCTGATCGTCAAGGACAGTGGTTACGTCGCCGTAGATTAGATGGTTCGTTAAATCGAGTACCGTTAGGCTGTTATCCTAGAATATGGAGTGTATTACATAGAGTAAGTAAGATGTAGATAAGATGGTTCGTTAAATCGTGTTCCACTAGGCCGTTATGGAGTGTATTACATAGAGTAAGTATGACGTAGATTAGATGGTTCGTTAAATCGTGTTCCACTAGGCTGTTATGGAGTGTATTACATAGAGTAAGTAAGATGTAGATAAGATGGTTCGTTAAATCGTGTTCCACTAGGCTGTTATGGAGTGTATTACATAGAGTAAGTATGACGTAGATTAGATGGTTCGTTAAATCGTGTTCCACTAGGCTGTTATGGAGTGTATTACATAGAGTAAGTATGACGTAGATTAGATGGTTCGTTAAATCGTGTTCCACTAGGCTGTTATGGAGTGTATTACATAGAGTAAGTATGACGTAGATTAGATGGTTCGTTAAATCGTGTTCCACTAGGCTGTTATGGAGTGTATTACATAGAGTAAGTAAGACGTAGATAAGATGGTTCGTTAAATCGTGTTCCACTAGGCTGTTATGTAGTGTATTACATAGAGTAAGTATGACGTAGATTAGATGGTTCGTTAAATCGTGTTCCACTAGGCTGTTATGGAGTGTATTACATAGAGTAAGTATGACGTAGATTAGATGGTTCGTTAAATCGTGTTCCACTAGGCTGTTATGGAGTGTATTACATAGAGTAAGTATGACGTAGATAAGATGGTTCGTTAAATCGTGTTCCACTAGGCTGTTATGGAGTGTATTACATAGAGTAAGTATGACGTAGATTAGATGGTTCGTTAAATCGTGTTCCACTAGGCTGTTATGGAGTGTATAACATAGAGTAAGTAAGACGTAGATAAGATGGTTCGTTAAATCGTGTTCCACTAGGCTGTTATGGAGTGTATTACATAGAGTAAGTATGACGTAGATTAGATGGTTCGTTAAATCGTGTTCCACTAGGCTGTTATGGAGTGTATTACATAGAGTAAGTAAGACGTAGATAAGATGGTTCGTTAAATCGTGTTCCACTAGGCTGTTATGGAGTGTATTACATAGAGTAAGTATGACGTAGATTAGATGGTTCGTTAAATCGTGTTCCACTAGGCTGTTATGGAGTGTATTACATAGAGTAAGTATGACGTAGATTAGATGGTTCGTTAAATCGTGTTCCACTAGGCTGTTATGGAGTGTATTACATAGAGTAAGTATGACGTAGATTAGATGGTTCGTTAAATCGTGTTCCACTAGGCTGTTATGGAGTGTATTACATAGAGTAAGTATGACGTAGATTAGATGGTTCGTTAAATCGTGTTCCACTAGGCTGTTATGGAGTGTATTACATAGAGTAAGTATGACGTAGATTAGATGGTTCGTTAAATCGTGTTCCACTAGGCTGTTATGGAGTGTATTACATAGAGTAAGTATGACGTAGATTAGATGGTTCGTTAAATCGAGTACCACTAGGCTGTTATCCTAGAATATGGAGTGTATTACATAGAGTAAGTATGACATAGATTAGATGGTTCGTTAAATCGTGTTCCACTAGGCTGGTACATAGAGTAAGTATGAGAGTACATCAGCTTACCACAAACATTCCTTTAGTCCTTTTTATATGCCCACATTGAAATGTGGTCGTATGTTGTCAGGCTGTCCGTCCGGTGGTCCGTTTCCTACAATTTAATATCCGATTGACTTTAAATTTATACACAGTATTTAAGGTCTTGAGAAGAAGACGCCTATTGATTTTCAGCGATTTCCGATAATTGCTGCCAGAGTTATGGCCCTTGATCACTTTGAAAAATCTTGTGGACGCTCTAGAGGCCAAAGTTAATATCCGATTGACTTTAAATTTATACACATTGTTTAAGGTCATGAGACGAAGAATCCTTTTGATTTTCAGTGATTTCCGATAATTACTGCCAGAGTTATGGCCCTTGATCACTTTGAAAAATCTTGTGGACGCTCTAGAGGCCAAAGTTAATACCCGACTGACTTTAAATTTATACACAGTGTTTAAGGTCATGGGACAAAGAAGCCTATTGATTTTCAGCGATTTCCGATAATTACTGCCAGAGTTATAACCCTTGATCACTTCAAAAAATCTTGTGGACGCTCTAGAGGCCAAAATTAATATCCGATTGACTTTAAATTTATACACAGTTTAAGGTCATGAGACGAAGAGGCCTATTGATTTTCAGCAATTTCCGATAATTACTGCCAGAGTTATGGCCCTAGAAATCTTGTGGATGCTCTAGAGGCCCTTGATCACTTTGTGATCTGATCGACTTCAGATTGATACACAGAGTTTAAGATCTTGAGTGGAACAAGTATATTGATTTTCAATGAATTTTTATGACTTGAACAGCTAAATCCATGATATTAAAAGTTTTGTATTAAGAACTTTTGGGGCAAAACTTTATAAAAACCAAACAAATTCTAATGGTTTTCTGATAATTACTTCATGGGTTTTTGCTCTTAATCAGATTTTAGTGTATTATGAATGTTTCATTACAGAAAAAAGTAAAAATATGCGACAACTCTTGTTGACTGCCCGGACGATTTAGCTGCTGTGGGCGTATGTTTCGTTGCCTGGCAACCTATCTTTAATATCAAATGTAGCATTTTGACTAAAGGCCCATCAACACTCTGTGAACTTCTCAGAGGACTTACCTGTTGTACCACATTTCACTGCCCGACAACCAATATTTTATAAAGCGTTTAGGGGTTTCTGAAATAATCTTTTTCATCTAAATGTGCATGATGTAGATCATAAAGCCAGGTATTTATGTAAATTTTGGGTTTGGTCACCAACACTTTCATAAGCACATGAAATTTCTCAGTGGGGTACTCCAGTTTCCTCCCACAAATGAAATAGTCCGAAGGAAAATTTGGAATGCATCGGTACCAAGATATTAACTTTGTTGTTAAAAACTATAATTGATGGAGGAAATGGTTTGGATAACCTGTAAGATGACAGATTTATTTTTATTCTTTCAGAGTCAAGGAATATCTATTAAAGGTTCACTTTTACAGAAAAGTTTGACGCAAGAGGTAATTAATTAAACTAATTAAATATATTCGTAGGGCCCCGTATGAAAAGTTTGACACAAGAGGTAATTAATTAAACATATTCATGGGGCCCTGTATGAAAAGTTTGACACAAGAGGTAATTAATTAAACATATTTGACGCAAGAGGTAATTAATTAAACTAATTAAATATATTCGTAGGGCCCCGTATGAAAAGTTTGACACAAGAGGTAATTAATTAAACATATTCATGGGGCCCTGTATGAAAAGTTTGACACAAGAGGTAATTAATTAAACATATTCATGGGGCCCTGTATGAAAAGTTTGACACAAGAGGTAATTAATTAAACATATTCATGGGGCCCTGTATGAAAAGTTTGACACAAGAGGTAATTAATTAAACATATTCATGGGGCCCTGTATGAAAAGTTTGACACAAGAGGTAATTAATTAAACATATTCATGGGGCCCTGTATGAAAAGTTTGACACAAGAGGTAATTAATTAAACATATTCATGGGGCCCCGTATGAAAAGTTTGACACAAGAGGTAATTAATTAAACATATTCATGGGGCCCTGTATGAAAAGTTTGACACAAAAGGTAATTAATTAAACATATTCATGGGGCCCTGTATGAAAAGTTTGACGCAAGAGGTAATTGATTAAATATATTCATCGGGCCCCATACGAAAAGGAATATTTTTATTTTGCCTGAAAATGGGCTTACTTTGGCCCCCAAATTATCAGTTAAAAATATCTAGCAACATTATATAAATGTTGATTATGTACTATACAGACAAATAATTAACCCAGATTTTCTCTGAAGTTATGTGTGGACTTATAATATTATAATCGATGTTTTCTTCACAAGCAAAGGGGGAGGTGGATGACGTGGGTTTTCTCCGGGTCCTCGAGTTTCCCCCCACTGTTAAAGACCCCTACGCACTAACGAATTATTGAAATAAAATTGAACCAAATGTTAGTCCCGAAATGACCTGGTTTGTGTCAAGTGGACGTTAAACTCTCTCTCTCTCTCTCTCTCTCTCTCTCTCTCTTTCTCTTCATAAGCAATGCTGACAGATTTGATTTTATAAAGTAGAATCTTATCATTGTAACACAAAATCTGTTTGTTATTTTATAAGATAATTTATATTGTATATTCAGATGACGCCGGGGGAGTTTAAATTTGCTCTACAAGTAGAAATGGTTCTAAATAAAATACCGCAGCCAGAATACAGACAGTTAATGGTGGAAGCATTAATGGTGTTAACATTATTAGTCGAGAATGATAATCAAAGAATTATACTTGATCATGTTATTGAATTAGATAAAATAGTACATGAAGCAGATGCACTATTTATATCAGATCAGGTATGATAACACCATATTGACTGTTTATTTTAAATATATATTACCTGGATGAACATATACAGGTCACAATTCATTTCTATTGACAGAGCCTCCTCTAAGGATTTGGTCGTGCGCGGCAATGTCGGGTGCAGCCCCACCCACGAGCACCGTAGGTGAGAGCCCGCGCAGGGGGGGGGGTGGTCTTGTGGGCCATCCCTCAGAAAATTTTGAAAACTGACTCCCTTAGACTCGATTTCTGAGCACTTAAAAAATAGTTTCGGAGATTTGATACACTATTAGTTTTGGCATCTTGTTAAACCATGGATTGATTAATACCCAGTAAAATCTAGATCAAAACACTGCTGCAGCTGACCCGCAGACAGAAATATACTCATAAAACAATCCGAAAGACGATTTTGTAAACCTACGCACCATGATATAGTATTGGCACATGGGAAAAACCTTGTCAGCGATTTTCAAAACATATGTATGTTGCCGCCCAGTCTTCAACTTTTGGGCTCTGTAGGCAGCACAGTTTGGCCAGTGCGCTGCAGCGCCGCCGCCGAGTCACCATGTTAAACGAGGCTTTGTCTATTGAATACAGTTACTGCTTATTACTGAGCGATGTTTCGACTAGGCTTCTCTAGTCATTATCAACATCACTCAGTAATAAGCAGTAGTTGTATTCCATTGTGACATGTATATTACAGTTCAATTACTAAATACCATTGAAATAATTAGTCTGGATAATCATACTCCAGCAAGGCTGATAAAGTGTGTCTAGATAATCATACTCCAGCAAGGCTGATAAAGTGTGTCTAGCTATTCGGATTGGATAGAAAACTGAGATCAATTAGTTTACATTACACATTGGTGTAAAATAAACCTTCACATTTGGAAATCGAAAGTAAAGTAGGAAGACACATTGCATGGGGGATTGGATGGCTGAATGGTCAGCGCGTGCGCGTTGCATCATAAGGTCTGTCATTGAGTCAACTGGCGTGGTTTCGATTCCCCGGTTGTATGTGACAAGGAGTAGGATCGTCTGTCCAACCTAGTGGGTTTTCTCCAGGACTTCTGGAGAAATAAAATTGAACCATATGTTAGTCCCAAACATCATACATTGTCCCATCATGTAAAAAGTTTACTGTATTCTTCAAAACTTATAGTTTGTTCATATAGATAATTATATTATTATTATTTTAACAGAAAATGCCAACAGATGTAGCTGCTCAATCAATGGGTGCAGCGAATATAAATCAACATTTCTATGATAGCGCTCCGAGTGGCAGGTTTGGTACAATGTCTTATTTATGTCGAGCCTTGGCTAAAATGTTACGTTTACCTATAAGTCAGAATGATACAATGGAATGTAATATTTGTTGATAAAAATTACGCGACAAGAATAAAGATTTAATGGATCTATCAGTATTTTATAACATTCATCCTAAAACAGATGAAGGCATGTGTTCTTCTTGACGAAGTTATCACATTGTTCCTGCTAAAGTATAAGATGTGTGCTTTGAAAATCGTAGCTACATCTGATCCATTACTATAAATTCAAAAGATGGGACTCTTTGCAGCAGAATGAATTTTTTTAAAAGATCCTTATTTATGTGTGATGTTAAAGTGTCTCCATGTGGATTGTTAACAAATGTGCAATTATTTTTTGTATACTTACATATGTGTTTTTGACTCTTATCAATATAATTTGTGGGTTGAAACATGTTTTGATTTTTTGGTTGTTTTTTTTTTTTAGACAGTGATAATGTATAGAAATTTTGAATTTAATTAATGCCCAGTTGCATGTGTCCCTCGAGGTATGATTAATAACTCGAGATCTTTATGTGAATAATTTCCATGTTGTATCATATTACTAATTGGCTCAAAATTAATTAAAGCATAAAGGAATTTCTTGTACATATTATTGAACATCAGATATAGATTTATATTCCTTTATACATTCAGTAGAAGGCGAGTTTTACAACATCTGGACGTTGCTAGATTACTTTACAATTCCCGAACTTATAGCTGCGTTATCTACAGACACGTGAACAGTAGCATCCAATCAGAGGTCGTGACATAGCGACCTCCGTGGATACCTTGATATTGAACGAACCTTGAACTTTGCAACTCGATTATCACAGGTAGACATTTTAGCTCGAATTGGGTGAATACCCAATCGAAATTAGTGTCGAAATATGCAGGGTATTACGTGAAGGGCTTGATAAGATGTACATAGTTAAAGCGAGATCAAACCTTCTATTTAAGATGGTAGAAAGCTTGCTTCCAATTGTTTATTTTCTCAAGACATAAATAATATTGAGGTAAATCATTACTTGCAATAAAGAAGCTTAACCTGCTTTACATAGCATACTCATAGTCATAATATTGTTTGCTTCTACTGTGTATAGGCCTGTCCAACCTCGTGGATTTTCTCCGGGTCCTCTGGTTTCCTCCCACTGCTAAAGACCTCTACGCTCTAGTGAATTATTGAAATAAAATTGAACCATATGTTAATCCCGAAATGACCTAGTTTGAGTCGAGTTGACATTAAACCCCATTTCTCCCCCTTTTTCTACTGTGTAGAAATCTCATCTCAACATTCATTAAAAGATTCTCAAATCATTCACTCTATATTCTATCTACATGTATAAAATACAGATGTGATGTCATTCTTTGATGTTGGTGTACCATTATTTCAAATAATGGTACGGGCAATGTGCCAAGCGTACATTATTTATGCTAGATGAAATATTGGACCCGCTTATGTGACGGTTTCATTGACATGCACTTCCCGGATAGTGTCGGTATTTTATGATGATTAATGGTTGTGTGCAAGACATTGCGTAATATATAGATATCAATGTATTACTTAATGTCTCGCACTCGACCATTAAACTACACATAATGAATATTTCTTTTTCTAATAGTGTTGATTGTGGATTGTTATTAACTATTATCATTAACCAAATACTGTATATAATAAGTCCTACATTTTCGATTGGGGTGAAATAATCTAGAAAAAACAAAGCAATGTTTTTAAGAAACCAATTAAAATCTCATTACTTTGGGTTCTGGTATTGTCAGCATATGCATAGCAGAAGTGTATTGCCACTGATGGATACGGTACCTAAAACAAAATGACAAACAAAACACTCAACATAGATGGCGGTTTGAATTTTGGTTTCCTATTATTTTATGAAATGAGAGAATCGGACTGAATGAAAAAAAAAATAACATTGAATTTTTCCACAAATGAAGGAGATCTGCTGTTTTATATGTTTCTCTCTGTGATAATGTTAAATATTGTAAATATGTTTTCTAGAGAAATATTGTAAATGTATAAACTAATGTTATGTATGTAATTTGTATTTATTCCCTTATAAAAACATTAATTCAGTTCAATAACTTGTTTTTTGTTACTTCAAGGAAACATTCAGTATATTGATCTCTCTCAATCTATTTAGCTTGTTAGAATATTGAGCCTTTACGATTGTCAAAACAATTTAAAGAGTGCTTTCCTTCCAATTTAGGGGAGTTGGATGGCAGAATGGTTCGCATGTGCAGGTATCTTAAAGTTTGTCTTTGAGTCAACTGGTTTCGATTCCCTGGTTGTATGTGACATGGAGTAGGGTCACCTGTCCAACCTCGTGGGTTTTTTCCCGGTCCTCTTCTTTCCTCCCACTACTAAAGACCCCTGCGCGCAAACGAATTATTGAAATAAAATTGAACCGTTAAGTTTGTCCCGAAATGTCGAGTGGACGTTAAACCCCATTTCTCTCTCTCTATTAACATGACAAGCCTATATGTTAGTCCTGAAGTGACCTAGTTTGTGTTGAGTCGACGTTAAACCCCATTTCTCTCTCTTCTTCCAATTTTCATGGAGTGAGCCGATATTCAATCTTGGCGATAACTACATCAGGGCTTTACTACAAGGCTGATATCCCCACATTATTCATCTCCAAATTAATCGCTAAAACTAATACAAACATCATTAACTTCCGATATATTAAATCTGGCTTGCAAAGAAAACAGCTGTCTTTATCCCGCAAGACAAAACATAGACAATAATGAGCCAATAAATGTTATTTTGTATCAGGTGGCATAATTTACATAAGATCATTATGATTTCTGTCTTTACCTTGTAAAATGGGCATAAAAAAAAAATCATTTATAATTTTATGCAAGATATTTATTTCTGTATATTATTTACATTATCGACATATAAATAAAAGCCAACATATAAAGATGATAATATGTAATGTATATAATAAAAACAATAGTGAACAGATTTCAGACCATACAAAATTTTAATGTATGAATAATAGTGAACAGAATTCAGACCATACATAATTATAATGTATGAATACTATAGAGAACATAATTCAGACCATACAAAATTATAATGTAGGAAATAATATTGTTCTATAATATTTTAATAATTGGTAACATAACAATGTGGAAGCAGACATCACACGAATATAAATCAATCCAAGAATAAAAATTGGTAACCAAGATCTTCTCAATTAAAATTCATACAGTAAAATATTAAATGTAAAAGAATTCTGGAATTCTTCTAGTCTCAGTCACCTAGAACCACCTAGTCCTCAACGTAGCGAAGGTCTGGGACCGTTGTCAGTATTTAACGAAAAGTTCCCTTGACCATGCGTAACTGGGACTTTAGGTTTTTATGCAGTTGATTATCTAGTAAATTTCGCCAAATCACGTAAGAGTTGCTTCCCTTCCCGCAATAAATCCCATAATTCATGCATTATTATAAAAAAAACATGAATCGTGACAACCAATTTAGATTAATTAAAAGACATAGATGTGGTCATTGAAAAGATAAATTTTACAATAAAAGAATTAAGAGTTGGATATTGAACTGGCAATGCAAATGGATTTTCTGAAATGGAATTCTTAAATTAATTTCATGGGCGTCAACATCTTGTTTTGGGAGTAGTTACCTCCCTTAGACTTTGTTCATGATAATGTAAAAGACTGGATAATCTAGCCAATGACCAATTATTCTCAAATGTTGACAACACATTCAGACTAATATTCATAGAATATTTTTCTGGATGATAGAGACTAGACTAAATCCCTCATCCCTCCATACCAAAGAATTATATATACTTACTTATCAAAAAATATCGACACTCATCGATAAAGTTAAAAAAAAAAAAAAAAAATTATTTTTTACTTTATTAACGAGTGTTGATATTTTTTGATATCAAAAAAGACTCGTAGGAGATTCTTTATGTATAAAATGGTGTATAGCCGAAGGACTAGAGTATTCAATAAAATTGTCCTGCTAAAGAGTTTGGAAATTAAACGGACCACAGTATTATCTTCACAAAATGGAAACTATTTAGTGATCTATTAAAAATAGAACCAGCTTGATTGGAATGTTTTTATTCTGTGACAAGCTAAAGGCAGAATTATGACCAAAATGTTTAATGAATTACATTAGTCTTACCCATTTAAACTCGATTTTGAAATAAGCCATATCTCATCAAATTTCTACAGAATTCAACATAAAAGCCAGCAAATATTAAGCAATTTGTGGTCTTAGGCACTAAAACTTTGTAATAATAAGACCGACCATATGTAGTGAGTTGAAGACCAGGTTAAAACAATCTGATTAAAACACAGATCCTATTTCTTTTCGTTTTTTATAGTTCAAAATATCATTTTACTTGTCTAGGATCTGGAATGGTTGTTATATTACTGGCGTTCTGGTTGATGTGAGCGATTAGCCAATTAAACGGTGTGTTACGGTGAGTTCTTGGTGTGCAATGCACGGAATTGTGGGTAAACCACTAGAAACGTCAACGCTGATTGATTAATCATTGTGTGACTTCATAGGGTCAAAAGCATCTCGTAAGACCTCTGACGTGACTTCTGACACGACCTCTCACTACAACTGGTCAGTAACCATCGAGAGTATAAAAAAACAAAATGAAATATAGATCTGTATTTTAATCCGATTGATGTTAAAATATCACGTCTGTCAACTACAGCGTGTCCACATTAGTCATTATGATTAAAATATGTGTGCAATAAAACTGGGTTGGAGTTTGAGGACATAAAACCATTTATTTTCTTAACTTGAGAATTACACAAATCTATGACTATCCCATGCCTTAAATACAACTACAGATGGAACTTATTTTTCCGAGTGTGTTGATTGAAGTACCATGTTAAAAGGAAAATATTAATATTACTTTCAATTACATCTTTTACCTGTAGTTCTAGAAACAAACTTGAAAAAAAAAAACTCTTGAGTTAAGAAAAATAAAAAGTTTCATGACCCCCGATCTTAAATATTAAAAATATAATCTATATTATATACATAACATTTTAAAATACATGCTTTTAAACCGAGAAGATGAATTATGTTTGATGTATGTATTTATTCTACAGTAATAATTGTATTTTTGATCAGATATCACAAGAAGTATTATTTAACCATGAACTATGTATGAAACAAAGTTATGCCATAAGTAAAAGAGGTAACCATGTCTTTCAATCTTCCAGTCATACTTTTTAATTTCCTCATAAAACCATATATTAAAATGTTCATATGGCAGTTTTGTTCACAAATAAATATAAACTTTGTTCTTCCATTGTTTTTTACACAATATCCACACTCAAATATTCTACTTCTTGATCTCGTAACGGCTTCTTAATATGGAAAAATTCTAATATATTGTTTTTAACACCTCGGTTGAAAGGATTGTAATAATTTCCCTTCCCATCCTTCAAGTATTTATATCTCTTCCTGTTTATTCTTTCATTAGTTGTTAAATTAATAGCTGCGTGTACAACCTACGAAAATATAAAAATATAATACAATTGATTGTTTAATAATTTAGTCTACTGGTTGACAGCTAGAGCAACACTGATGTGATGGTAGATACAGTCTATGGGCGTCCTCGCTAGAGATAAAGGGACATAATTTATAGGCGAGGCGGTCCCACGTGACCTCATTGTTTACCGTATAGCACAGTTTTCCTGTACATTCATTACGTGTTTAATACTGATACGGTTTTCTTATCGATAAGGTTACATGGAACCAAGTTTTTACTAGCGACACCTGGTGGGAATTCCTTCAGCGGGGACGCCCATTGGAAAAGGCACACCAGCCTTCAATACTTTAATTTAATTTGAGCAATAAAAAAACTGCCGCAAGCTGCCAATTATACTACTGAATTTAAACAATTCGTCAGCGGAATAAATTCTTGGAGTTTACAAAAACAATACTTATTTGTTTGTACAATGAATGTGATATCGAGACACACGAGTATAGACCAAAATCGCAATATGAAAATGAAAATGAAATGGGGTTTAGCAACCTACTGTTCTGTTCCGAATGGGATAATGAAGACAGGCATATGTCATACAGTGTGCTATGAGGGAAATTTTGCCCTATGACCTACTCTTATATCGAATTCAAACTGCCAAGGGATCTTTTACGTGCATGCCAATGTATACACAGGACCTCGATTTTTCATACATCCAAATGACTAGACAGCTGTCCTTGTCAGACCCTCAATCCTGCACCAATGACAAGGGGAAACCACGTCGGAAAAACCTAATGAACTATCTCGGACAATTCAGCAATCGAACACGCGACCTCGAGGCTAGCGAGCCAGCGTTTTACCCACTTAGCTACAGTGACTCCTCAAAATAGCCATCAAAATTTTCAGTGACTCAAAAAAACCTGGTCACACTCTCAGAATCTTTCACTTGTGATAACTTACCGTAAAACCTGATAAATATATAGCAATTAAATCATAGACTATCATTAACAATATGCCTGCTAGATAATCAAGTCTATAGTTGCCATTTTCTTGTTGTATGATAATATAACCGAAAAAAATGGATATTATTCCATTAACTGCGACACACGATACAAATAACGTAAAAGATCCTCTGAAACGATAAGAAGAAAAGGACATAGGTATAGTGCTTACCGACATCCAGAAGACAACGGTGATACCAATAGAAAAGAAGGCAGCTTCCAGTAAACCAATGGCTACAAGCCAATCCCACCCTCGGACAGTCAGAATATAATAACATAAATAGTCTGTGAGGATAACTGCTATGAAGATTGATAGAGTAAAACCAAAGAACCATGTCCTATAATAACAACGTTAAAAACACAGTCAATTATTGCTTCAATTATAATATTGTATATTGATGAAATAATATCATTCAATTTCAATGTTCTCTTTCTTAAAAGAGGCATTATGGGAGATTAGATAAAGAGTTGACTGTTCTCGGTACAATAGTTAAAAACTAGATAATGTAAAGGGAATATGTTGACAATTTCAGTTAAATTGCTCCACTCTGAACCCAGATGTTAGCGATTGAATTTTAGGCTAGATATTAGCTTTTGAGTTTTAAGCATAGCCTTGATCATCATTACTAAAATCGGTACGATAAAAAACATGATAAAAAACAGTCTCGATTATCCATTTTTGGATTTAATCATCAAGGATTATGGTTTGGATAAATTAATGTCTAATTAATAGTTTATATAACATTTCATGCCTGAAGAAAGATCTACAATATGCAGATTTAGCTCTTACATAATGTATGTTTAAAAGAGCTAAATCGCTAATGTTTGGGACCTAAAAACTAACACAAATGGGTCACAACACATATAATAATGTAATATGAATGTATATAAACTGATTTACATTCAATGGTTTCTGTTTTTACTCTAATTTCTTATCAGTTATGTTCGGCAAAATACGCCAGAAGTATCAATCGAATGGCAATCTCTAGCATCTAGTTATTCCAGTCTATGTTATCAGTTATGTTCGGCAAAATACGCCAGAAGTATCAATCGAATGGCAATCTCTAGCATCTAGTTATTCCAGTCTATACCGATAGTATTTATTGCGCGTGATCTCAAGATAAGAATATGTTGTCACCGTTTGACATGACTTGTGGAATATGTCTAGCCTCGTTCTTCGAGGCCCTTGTTACAATTGGTGCTGAAACACATTATGATACACGATTTGTGCACCAGTAGTAAAATGTTTGTCTTAAATATTGTATATCAGAAGCCCATCGTTTCCAGGTAAGATCACAACTTTGACATTGAAAACACCACTTGTTAGTGAATTTAAATCAACAGTGATGTTGTGATTTTACTGAGAAAAGATGGGCTTCTGATATCCAATATCTAAAACAAAATGAAAATTTTAAAATTGGCACACGAATTGTGTGCCAGCATGCTTTTGAGTGCCATTTGTAATGAAGCGACATGATGAACGATGCTAACCCTATCCCAGAGGAGGACATGAGCAATAAATACTATCGATGTAGACTGGAATAACCATAACCACAGACTGACATCTGAACTCTTTGCATACTTTGCCAAACATAAATGATTAGAAATTACAGTAAAAACAGAAACGATTGAATGTAAATCAGTTTATATACATTCATATTTCATTGTTATATGTATTGCCACCCATTTGTGTAAATTTTTAGGTCCCAAATGTTTTTCCGAACATTTAGTATGTAGATATTTTCGAGCTTCCAATTTATTTGTCTACATTTTCTATGTTCTAATACCCTGTCCATTAAGCCATACCAGAATATATTATAAATTATCATATGAACCATAAAGCAAAGAGAAGTTACAAGAAAGAAGCCATCACCACACAGACTATAATGTTATCCAATATACCAATGTTAAACAGAAACTACTAGTAGACCATTCTTTAATATCATATATAAATATCACTCGGCAAACCTCAGCAGATTCCAGTACCCTTCATCTAGCCTCGGCTGTATGACAAAGTCCGCCATTGGAATTACTTTCAAGTTCCTGGATTATCAATGGCGTTGCCCATGACGACGCCTTTGAAGAATGTTTTATTATACAAATATTTCAAGTCTGGAGCTGTTTTTTTTTCAAGTTTATTCGATTTTCTTCAAACAAGGACAACTTTGCAATGGAAATTCTAAACACGCATCGCAATTGTATAGGCGTAGGTACATATCACTTACCGTCATACAGCCGAGGCTAAATGTAGAGTGACGGAATCTGACGAGATTTGCTGAGTGATATCAATATGTATCACATGCATTAAAATATCATATAGTTAATACCAATTAACAAGAAGTTCAATAGCAAAACATTAACAAGACAGTAGATAAAAGAAAGAGAGGTTGCCAGGCAACAAAACATACAACCACAGCAGCTAAGTCGTCCAGGCAGTCAACAAGTGTTGTCGTATATTTTTTCTTTTGTCAGTAATGAGAACATCAGGCACTGTGTGTAAATTTGAAGTCAATCGGATAATAACTTTAGCCTCTAGAGCATCCACAAGATTTTTCAAAGTGATCAAGGGCCACAACTCTGGTAGTAACTATCAGAAATCACTGCAAATCAATAGGCGTCTTCATCCGATGTCCTAAAACGCTGTGTGTAAATTTAAAGTCAATCGGATATTAATTTTAGCCTCTAGAGCGTCAACAAGATATTTCAAAGCGATCAAGGGCCATAACTCTGGCAGTAATTATCAGAAATCGCTGTGGATGACAGACTGACGAATGGATGGACAGGGGCGACAATATATGACCACATTTCAATGTAGGCATATAAAAGTTTGAATAAATTAAATTCTATATTGTAATGTATTTGTTATAATACTATAAGACATGCTAGATTTAGAAAATAAAAGATACATGTATATTGATATACTTACCTATTTTTATATCCAACACAATTATATATATAAGGACAATGATGATCAAATTCTTTAATACAACGATTACAGATTCTACAATGTTTAGCTCTAACAGGTTTAACTGTTCTACAAGTATGACATAGTTGACTTAATGGATTCCGACCTTGTTTCCATTCATCAAAATGTGCTACCTAAAATAACAATAGAAATACACACATTACTCAAGGAGAAGGGGACAGGGAGGGAGAGAGAGAGAGAGGTGTTTTAACGTCCACTCAACACAAACTAGGTTATTTCGGGACTAACATATGGTTCAATTTTATTTCAATAATTCGCTTGCGCGTAGAAGGACCTGAAGGAAACCCACAAGGTTGGACAGGCTACCCTACACCTTGACATGTACAACTGGGGACTAAAAACCATGCCAGTTGCCTCAATGACACCCTTATCGTCCATCCAACCCCCCGACAGGAAAGGAGGGAAGGGGCAGGGAGGTTGACCCCCAGTAATATCAGTATTTCAGCGGATGTTTTTACCTGTTTTATAGCTTGATCATATTCTGGTATATTACGTGGTAAAAAGCCTGGATCTGTGGTACTAGCGTGATATAAACAGATCCACATACATATATTAACCATCATAAATAACATATGTGTCACCTGTAGTTCATAGAATGTAGACGATAAACACTGAAATTATATACACAAATAATATTAGTTACAATTCTTTGAAAACCATTAAAACATCTTGAGGCTGTTATCACAAACTGAAATACGCCAGAAGTCTCAATTGAATGGCAGTCTCTAGCGTCTGGTTATTCCAGTCTACACCGATAGTATTTATTATGCATGTTCTCGAGATCAAAATATGGCGTCACTGTTTGACATGATCGGTGGAATATGTCTAGCCCTGTTCTTCAAGTCCTTTGTTATAAATGGTGCTTAAACGCATCATGGTACACGATTTGTGTACCAATGGTAAAATGTTTATTTTGTCTTAAATATTGGATATCAGAAGCCCATCTTTTCCAGGTATGATCTCAACATCAATGTTGATGATTTAAATTGATAAATAATTTGTGTTTTCAATGTTGAAGACTTTGGAAGATACTGAGTTAGAGACTTAGCTACTTTGTTTGAATTTATACAAAGGTTTAAATATTTGTTCTAGACATGTAAATAAAAGTTATATTACCTTTATTATATACATTGGATAACCCCAACATAAAATACTAACTACAAAAAATAATAAGGCTCCTTTACTATTCCCTGGTGGACCAAATAAAATTGACCTGTAAAAATACAAGTTATAAATAAGATTTATTTTTAATGAAATGAAAAAGAAATAACAATATAAAAAAAAACACAGACAAAGAATTTCAAACATAGTATAATTACAGACAAATAATTTCAAACATAGTATAATTACAGACAAATATGTTAACGGCAAATTACATGTTGACAAAATCTTTACAAAAAAAATTTGAAAACCAAAAGAAAGGAGTTATCTGCCCTTACACCACATTCTGACAATATGTTAATCTCGGTCACCCAGAACCTCCTAGTCTTCAATGTACGAAGGGTCTGGAACCATTGTCAATATTTAACGAAAAGTTTTTTTTTTTATGTGGTTGATTATCAGTATCTATGACCAAGTCAAGTAAGAGTTGTGCCTCTTCCCGCAATAAATCCCACAATTCTTGCATTAATATAAACAAACACGAATCATGACAACGAATTAGGGTTAATTTTAAAAAACAGATATGGCCCACGAAGATAGAAATTTTACAATCAAAGAAAATCAAGAGTGTTTGAATATTAAACTGGCAAGGCAATAAAATAGATTTTCTGAAATGGTAATTCTTAAATTAATTTGATGGGTGTCAACATTTTGTGTTAGGACTAGTTACCTCCCTTAGACTTTGTTTATGATAATGTAAAAGACAGGATAATCTAGCCAATGATCTATTATTCTCAAATGTTGACAACCTATCCAGACTAACAATGTGTTACCATTTTTTTAGTAAAGCTTCAGATTCGCTGTAAATAATTCCTGGTAACATGAGCATACATAATGTAAACTTACCAAAAGTCTATTCTAGGTAAAATACTGGTACGGAACCTGGCTTCTTTTTTTAAATAATTGACAATATCTTCATGTTTTCTACCAATAGCTAACATTAACGGCGTTTTATTATTTTTATCTGCTAAATTAATTTCTACTCCATCCTACAAAATCAAAATATATTTATAAAATATTCAATATAAATGAAATGAAGTTTAACGTCCTACTGTTCTGCTCCGACTGGGCTAATGAATACAGGAATACGCCATACAGTGTGCTATGAGGGAAATTCTGCCCGGGCAGCGGCACTACGGCCTACTCTTATATCGAATTCCAACTGCAATGTGTACACAGGACCTCAGTTTTTCGTACCAACTGACCAACTAGACAGCTGTCCTTGTCAGGCCCTCCATCCTGCACCACTGACAAGGGGAACCCACGTCGAAAAATCCTGATGAACTTTCTCGGCCAAAGCAGGGATCGAACATGTGACCTCCAGGGTGACCTTCGGATGTAGACTATGGTCGCGTCTACAGTCTGAACCAGCACCCAAACGCAAATGGCCCTAGCCATTGACTATTCAATATGGTGGCGACCATGTCAGTTGTTCAGCCTGCTATATTTTCTCCTATTTACTCATGTATTTATAAAAACTTGTTAATTTTCCATACTACGATGTGAAAGCAAGCTTAAAATAGGTTACAAATAGGATTAGTCAATATCAGAATATTTTTCATTGGAATTATGTCATCCAACCAAATCATTTCACACGTACAGTTTTTTTTGCCGTGTGCCTATATTTATTCGAATAAGAAGATCCTAATCTGTCAAATTCATCAAAAAAGACGAAAAAAAAAATCATATTTAACGTCTACATGTATACTATAATGCCCATTCACTAACTTTCAGGCGTTAACATGGGCCCTATAATACCGACCAAGGTGTAAATAACGCAACGGCAATCAGCAATTTTATTATATTTTTCAGAAAATCTTCTCAAGTGTCAGTTTTGTCAGCCACCTTTGAACTATTCCGACTGTGCTTTATCGCATGGTACGGCTGGTCACGACCACCGGTTGAACTAAATGTCATTCGCATGCAGATGGTTCGACTATAGTACGAAAATCCTTGCAACCGAAGGTCGCCCAGGATGCCAACTAAAGACCTGTGTAAACCGAAGATTATCTGCCGTCAACAGACAATATTTCTTACCAGTCAAGATTCAGTTTATATTACTGAAACTGATCTCACTTCTGAGGATTTCCCATCGTGTCCATGGTTACATGGAAATGTTTACCCGCTGTTAACTAAGACTTTTATTTGCACACATTTTGATTATATCATTGCCCCTGTCTGTTCTGCCTCTGAGTTCACAAGGCATTCTCAGACTTATGTTAAGAATTTACTCAACTTTCAGTCACTGTTTATGACAAACACAAAACATTGCACATACTTTCTTATTGATGTATTTGATATATTAAAACAACAAAAGTTTTATAAATATTTTAGTTAAAATAAAGCAAACAATTTTGAGTAAATTCTGAACTTAAGTCTCTGAATGTTTTGTGAACTTGGGAACTGGTTTTGTGATTAGCTAACAAATATTTTTTTTACTTGATCTGCAATAATAAAATAAACAAAATAAGCTTATGCCTGTATTAACTAACCTGTTCACAAAGTTCTTTCACTGCTGTTAAATTACCATTTATACACGCCAAATGAAGAGGTGTTTGACCAAAATTATCTTTTTGTCGAGGATTAAAACCAGAATATATCAACAATCTCATTAACTCAGAATAACCTATAATTAAAAGTTTAATTAATACATAAAAATGAAAATGTTCTTACTATTCTGTCTGGTACATAATTGTAACTTTCTCCATTTGGAATGGTCACCTGCACGACAACTAAGAAGAACTTGTGTAATACTTTTTATTTAATACTTTTGAAAATCAGTTTAGACCCTTATGTGTACTAGTACTATACACTTATTATTTTGGCATTTTTTGAGATTCTATCAGGATTATTGCCCTTATTGCTAAAATTGTTTGACATTCTGGATCATGAGATCAACTGGCAGACTATCGCTATTGAAGAGACGACTACTGTCAAGATTGGTTGCATTATTCTGTTACGCTTTTTTGTAAATTGTCTTTTTTTTTCATTTTCAGCGAAGCCTGTACCATTACAGGTACAGTGAAGTAAACGATTATGGCTGGCCCCTGGATCCATTCACTTGAATTAATATTTGTTTATTTTTTGCAATGTCTACATTCTGTCTTGTCCGCAGGTTTATCTTGTAGATTTTGTTTTGTGTGTAGTGCGGTCCTCCTGCACTTACTATTCATAGTATTTTACATCATTATCTTTAAACAAAAAACCCATCCTTATAGACGTGAAAAATATCAATTTATTATAATACTTCACAAACCTTTAAAAGCTGCCCAATGTAAGGCATTGTCGCCATCTTTATCTACTAATTGTAGCCGAGCTCCTTTACCCATTAAATATCCTGCTAACATTGTTTGTCCATATTGAGCTGAAACTAACAGTGGTGTGCATCCTTTATTATCCGTTACGTCTAACGCCACACCAGCTTGTGTTAAAATATCTACGATAGCTATATGTCCATTAACACAAGCCCAATGAATGGGTCGAGCCCCAAGTTCATTCTCACTCGGTTCATCTATCGGTCCTTTATTTTCAATAATATGCCGAAGAATCGTGGTGTGACCTCCAAGGCAGGCCCAATGAGCTGGAGTGTGACCCTTTTCATCTCTGACCCTTAATACTTCCACACCTTCTTGTTCTATAAATACTTGAACAGGTATCAATATACTGAAAAAAATATTTTATACAACACATATTAGCTTAAAAAGCTTATAAATCTGTCGATATTGAAACATTTTGAAAGTATTGATAAATAAATCTATTTTTATTATTGTGTAATATTAATAATGATAAAGAGAAATGGGGTTTAAAGTCTACTTGACACAAACTAGGTCATTTCAGGACTAACATATGGTTTAAATTTATTTCAATAATTCGCTTGCACGTCAGGGTCTTTAGCAGTGGGAGGAAATTGGAGGACCTGGAGAAACCAACAAGGTTGGACAGGCGACCCTACTCCTTGTTACGTACAACCGGGGAATCGAAACCACATCAGTTGACTCAATGACAGACATTATGATGCAGTACATCGAACTCCCCCGATATCTTGATAAAAATTACTCTATCAATTATTGCTGTTAGGCTATTGTATCAAAGTAGGGTAATAACGTGATCATTTTGCATGTCAAACTTTCTTTAACATAGCGAAAGTCAAACATAGTTTACAATAGGTTAGAATAACCGGCACTAATGGACTTTTGTACACCTAGTACTGGCCGTGGTCGTAGAGACTTGAAATTTGCTGAGGGTGTTCAGGGTGTCTAATTATGATCTCAAACCAAATTTCAAGTCTCTACGACCACAGCAAGTTCTAGCCCTTGGTGTACGAAAGTGCATTAGCGCCGAATAACCTATTTTATCGTATGGCATTCAATGTCATTAATTTCATATCATGTCAAATGATATGAGAATGAGTGTTTTATACATGTGTACTTATATATGTGTTACAATGTCCACTGCAGACCAGTGAAGACCTGTCCTGTTAGTAACCATGATAAACAAACTTCAAAATACTAATTTAAAGCAAACATTAATTCTCCCTATGAGATATCAATACATATTACTGCAATTTAGGTTGGGGAGTGAACAAAAATAAGTACTAAAAGATATCTATTTCTGCAGGACGAAATGAAATGTAACTTGATTAACTCTGCAAGACCAGGTCAACTTGGCAACATTACAATATATATTATCATTCTCAGGCCAACCAAAAAAAGACCTGGTTTTGTTTAATTGCTTCAACTAACCCATGTTTTATCGCTTCAAATATTTGGTGTACTTTTGGTCCAGAGCCTGTGTTTGCATCGGAACAGGCTTTACTCGTGCAGGATCCGTCATGTGATTCGTGAAAGCCAACAGATTGTGACTTTCCACTTAGCAATCCATCTCCGTTTCCCGACATTTTGGCAGCACTTAATACGGTTGACACAAAATCTGAACTGGCGAAGAGTAGTAAACGAAATAAGGCGCATGGCTGAGCGTCACATGAAAACAAAGGGTAGCTATGCGACTTATCTGATTGTTTTAGGATTAAACTAATTAATGCAACCGCTTAATTAATATAATCCCCATACTATAGATACAATTATTGAAAATTGGCGTAGCAACATTAAACCCCGAATCATTAGCAATTAAATAATAATCTAATTCAAAGAAAAATGACATTTTGTTATGTCTAAATTGAGCATATAATTCTAAAATAGGTTTTCTAAATTAACTTTCAGTGGTAGAACCTGAAATGTCGACAAGTAGCCTACAGTGTGAAAAGGCGTTCTTCTTTCATGTGGGACGAAACCCCCGAGGTGCGCATTTAATTGGGTGTACGTAAAAGACCCCTGATAAAAATTGGGCGGAAATGCTATTGTCCGGTCCAAATTTTCCTACATTGCCTAGCACACCTAACAAAAAATTGAAATTAAAATTAATATATGTTTTAATTGTTTGTCCAATTAAAAAAAATCCTAGACATTAAATTCTTGGTCGTTTCGTCTTGTTTTACAATATTTCCGATTCTGAATTTGAAAGCTCAGTCGAGCACTGAGGAAGAAAATGGCGGCTGCGATGGACATTGACGAAAATGACGATCTTGGTGAAGCACCCTCTGTCAGTGGAGATAAGGGATCTAAGAAAAGATTTGAAGTTAAAAAGGTATAATTACTCATGGTAATAAGATATCGTTTATAATAGCCCATAGCAAGCGTATTGGGACTTTCCTTCTGTTACTAGTGTTAGTGTTTCACACTTATAATTGGTCTATTGACAAAAATAGAATCAGAAATAGCAACTGATGTCAATAGTGTCATGTCATAAGAATGGGCTTTGCATTAGATTTATCGTGCTAATTGACAGAGTGATGGCCAAGCTTTCAAAATTTTGATCAGGCTGACATTTAGCTGCAATATAATTGTAGCGTTGACTGGAGGCAAGACAGAAGACATTTTTGTGGAACCATTTCTGCCTGACTTTGTGTGGACAATCCTACTAATCCTAATTACTTTAGTAACGTACATTGTAGAAGGCGTAATATGTATCGGCTCTGCCTTCTACTACGGCAGAGCCGATACAATTTATGCCTTCTACAATTTACGTTACTAAAGTATCTAGGACAATCCCAAAGATGAATGATGACCCTGGCCATTTGAAGAATGTAGGCCTTATTAATGCTAAAAGTGGACATTGTCAGTATTTCCAGTGAAACAAATTATATTGGTTAAGGTATTAATCAGTACGATACTAACGTATGAGTACGGGTTATGGACATAACGGCCCTAAACGATTACGGCCAAAAAGTTTGGTCATAACAGCCAAAACGTTTGGTCATAATGACCAAAACATTTAGTCATTATGGCCTAGAAAAAAGACATTAACATAGTTATTATACATAATAAAATGCATAAATATAGAATTATATAAACATTAATTTTAACAAATATTAATTAGCGGTACCTTTGATATCAACTGACTATTAATCATTCGACAGAAATAACAATTCACACATCAGATAATCATCTGAACATGGTTTCAACTAATCATCCTATCCATTTAAAATACTCTTTGATAATCTCTTTGACGATGGCTACATAGGATTTTTTTATTGGCTGTTTTATGACCAAAGTGGGACCAGTATGACCACGTTCCTTTACAGTAGTTACAAAAAAATTGGTCGACAGATCCTGAGATCATTTAAAGTTCAAAAATTTAAATGCCCAAAACACCTCTACACATTATTTCAGACAACTTGATTAAAACAGTCACTCAATTTCTGAGATATGAGAACCACAGAATAGACTGAACTTAGACACTATCATAGTATACTTAATAAATTGAAGAAACAGTAGTGGCTGTCAGTGGACTTAGTTGGTTTGTGACCAAGACTTATTGGGTTTACCTGTGTTTGAGTTCGACCTTCTGCTCATTTTTGATAAATTAAAAACATTAACAAGTTGTTATTATTTAATAATAATATTGATAATATCTCTTTAGAATTTTAGCCATTGTTCATATTTGAATTTGATGGAATGTATTCTTTTTTTCAGTGGAATGCTGTAGCGCTGTGGGCATGGGGTAAGTATTTGACATTATTTTTACATATACAAGTGTTTCACTATTGGTCACAATTATCAAGGGGTTATTTAAGGTTGTGAAGCATATTGAACTCAGTAAGTATTAGTAAATGTCAACACTCAACAATATGAGAAAAAATCTCTTTTGGGGGGCAGTAGGGTGAGTAAGTAGTGGTATACTAAAGGCCAGGGCCAATGTCAGAGTGATAATTCAGATAATTATTTATTATACATTTATTCTCCCTCTAACCAAGGGGCGGGGGTTGGATGGCCGAATGGTTAGCGCATGCGAATTGTATCATAAGGTCTGTCATTAAGTCAACTCTCTTAGTTTCAATTCGCCGGTTGTACGTGACAAGGAGTAGTGTTGGCTGTCCAACCTCGTGGGTTTTCTCCTTGTCCTTCTGTTTCCTCCCACTGCTAAAGTCAAATCGAATTATTGAAATAAAGATTAACCATATGTTAGTCGAGAAATGACCTAGTTTGTGTCAGTGGAGGTTAAACCCCAATTCTCTTTCTCTCCCTCTCAAGGTAGCCTTATTAAAGATATAGGTATTAATGAATGAATTATTTTATTGTTATTTACAGATATTGTTGTTGATAATTGTGCTATTTGTAGAAATCATATCATGGACCTTTGTAAGTATTACAAATGTTATTAGCATTGGAGAATGTTAAATATAATAAATGTACAGTTCAGTTGGTAAATATCTTGTAATTAATGAAATATATGGTTAATGAAACTATTAATGTAACCAGCCAATTTCCCTTTCTTTTTTTAAACAACCATTTTCAACTTGAAGTATTAACAAGAGAAGTGATAGACCACTTTACTTCAGGTAGGGTCACCTGTCCAACCTGGTAGGTTTTCTCCCGAGTCCTCCGATTTCCTCCCACAGCTAATTAAAGACCCCTACGCACATGCGAATTATTGAAATAAAATTGAACCATATGTTAGTCCCGAAATGAAGGGTAAAGTTATCTCTGGAATTGAGCTCTTGCAGGAGCCACGGTGGCTAGGTGGTTACGATGCTGGCTCGCTAGCCTTGAGGTCGGGTGTTCAATCCCTGCATTGGCCGAGAAAGTTCATATGGATTTCCCGACATGCTTTCCCCTTGTCAGTTGTGCAGAACTGAGGGCCTGACAAGGACAGCTGTCGAGTCCTTCGGATGAGACGGAAAACCGAGGTCCCGTGTATACATTGGAATGCACGTAAAAGATCCCTTGGCAGTTGGAATTCGATATAAGAGTAGGCGATAGTGCCGCTGCACACTGTATGGCGTATGCCCGTCTTCATTAGCCCAGTTTAGGAGCAGAACAGTAGGACGTTAAACACCTTTTCATTTCATTTGCATAATTGTCCCCCGCCTTTCGAAGAAAGCAGGGGACTATTAAAATGGGTTCGTCCGTCTGTCTGTCCGTCTGTCTGTCCGTCACACTTTTTGGGACACAATAACTCTCTTCCTAATTGAGCTAGAATGTTCAAACTTGGTGTATGTGTTTATTAGGTCAATGCCTTGATGGAGTTCGAAGATGAGCATTTTCCGCTTAGGGTAAGCAGAGATAAGCAATTTGATTGGTTGATGCTTTGGGACACGATAACTCTCTTCCTAATTGGGCTAGAATGTTCAAACTTGGTGTATGTGTTGATTAGGTCAATGCCTTGATGGAGTTCGAAGATGAGCATTTTCCGCTTAGGGTAAGCAGAGATAAGCAATTTGATTGGTTGATGCTTTGGGACACAATAACTTTTAATTGAGCTAAAATGTTCAAACTTGGTGTATGTGTTTATTAGGTCAATGCCTTGTTTATTTTGATTCTATCTGATAGAGAGTGATGAAACTTAATGTATACTTAATAATCAGTTTGATTGCTGGATACTTTTGAAAAAGATAAACTTGCAATTAATTAATATATGTCATCTATTTATTTCGGGATTTCAGCGGGGGACATCAGCCTCACTGTTGGCTTGTTTATGTTTAAAGATGTACCTACAACAGTGTACAGAGATATATTTATATATAACAGGTATTTATTATATACAGGTAAATAATAGTATATGTGTTTATATATAACAGGTATTGAATGTCAAGCTAATCAAGCATCTGCTACAAGTGAGGAATGTACAGTAGCCTGGGGAGTATGTAATGTAAGTATATATCACAATTTAATAGTACAATTTATCTTCATAGTTTAAAGTAGCTAAGTCTTTAACTCAGTATCATCCAAAATCTTCGCATTGAAAACACAAATTATTTGTCAATTTTTATCAACATTATTGTTGTGATCTTACCGGGAAAAGATGGGCTTCTGATATCCAATATTTAAGACAAAAAAAAAACATTTTACCATTGGCACACGAATCATTATATCATTACCTTGACTAAGTTCGATTGTGTGAATTTTCTGTCTGGGCTAAGGAGCAATAAGCAATTTGATCGGTCAAGACTTTGGAACATAAAAACTCTGCTTTTAATTGAGGTAGAATGTTTAAACCTGATGTAGATGTTCATTAGGTGAATGTCTTGACTGATTTCAATGATTAACATTTCAAGCTAAAGCTAAGGGGAGCTAATCAATTTCATTGGTCGATGCTTTGGGGCAAGATAATCTTGATTCTATCTGATAGAGAGTGATGAAACTTAGTGTGTAGTTTGATTGCTCGAAACTTTTGAAAAAATAAAGGTGCGATTAATTAATATGTGTCATCTATTTATTTTGGGATTTCGGCGGGGGACATCAGCCTCACTGTTGGCTTGTTTATATATAAATACATCACTCAATCCATTAAGTACGTGTGATTTGACTCTATAGAAAGTGTGAACCAAATAATTAGTTAAAGAACAATTTGATCGCAAAGACCATAGTATTACAATAAAGGGTTTCCTTTTTCTCTCTCTGTGCCTTGATTCTGATGATATAACAGTATTTGTGTGTATCGATTTGTCAGTTTAACTTTAATATTTTTCAGCATGCTTTTCATTTCCATTGTATAACTAGATGGTTAAAAACAAGACAGGTTTGTCCGTTAGATAACAGAGAATGGGAATTTCAAAAGTAAGTTTTTGATAAATTTAAATCCTGCCTTCCACGTTTTTCAAACAAGCATAATAGTTTTATACATATGTGATTTTGATTAAATAATTAGCCTTTAAATAAGACTATGACAATAACACTATAAACCTCAATGCCTCGTTCGGCATTTTTGTCCAAACGTGGCAAAAACAAAAACGTGCTAATAAAATTTTTGCCACGTAACGTGGTAAAAACAAAATGCCACGTTTGTCTGGAGTTCCAAAACGTATTTTTTTTTCAAATTGCCATGTTTTTGGAACATGGTATTTTGACCAGAATGAGGCTGTTCACAAGGTTGGATACATGATTTTTCAAAAGGGTTGGGGGTGGGGTTCAGCCAAACCAAAGTTTCGTCAAGCGTATCAAGGACAGCATAACATTATTTGGTGACACTTTCAAGCGATATGTAGAGAAAAAACACAAGGCAAAGTCGACTAGAAATGACATTCGTTGCAAGTGTTTGTTACATTCTTTGTTGCAGTTTCATATGTTCACACATTATTACCAACAAAGAGATGTGAGAAATGAAAAACAGCCAAGTTCAAAGCGGAGCGAACTCAATAATTGTTTTTTAGGCCTTTGAATATTATTAATTTCAAATATGCTGTTCCTTTTTTTATATAATAAACGATATTATATTTAATATATCTCATGAAATTTTATGTAATTGGCACTCAGTTGTATGTATAAAAATTGCAAAAGCAATTAAATTAAAATCCATCGAAAAATGAAATAGACACAATTTATGTTTATATAATGACATGCAAAGCGGGGCGATGCGAACAACTATATTAAAAATGATAATTACATTTACATCCTTCAGGTGACCGACCTACGTCTGGATTCTTATGTAAAGGGTCGACCTGGACTATATTTTGGAGAATAAAACTGCTTAATTTTGTGTTAAAAGCCATTAAAATCTTCTACCTTTGGACCGAACAACTAACTCAATATACATGATACGTTTTCATCTTAAACCCGACATTTATTATATAAAAACAGGAACTGTATATTTGGTTTGGCTGAACCCCACCCCCAATCCTTCTGAAAAATCGTGTATCCAACCTTGTGATCAGCCTCGTTCTGGACAAAATACCTCGTTCCAAAAACATGACAATTTAAAAAAAAAAAAAATACGTTTTGTAACTCCAGACAAACGTGGCATTTTGTTTTTACCACGTTACAACTTGGCAAAATTATGGCAGAAAATTTTAAAACGTTTTTGCCACGTTTGGACAAAAATGAAGAACGAGGCATTCTGAGGTTTATAGTGTAATGCATGTGATAAAGCCTTCGTTTTCCTCCAATATATAACATATTTCCAATCTGATTAAAACACACATCTATATTTCGTTTCGTTATTTTATACTTTTAATGGCCTCTGCTGCACGAAGATCTGACCACTTGTACTGGGAGGTCGCGGCAGGGGGAACACAAGCTGCTTTTGACCCCATGGCGTTGATGTTTCTAGTGGGTTAGTCACAGTACTGTGCACCTCACTCCAAAAATGCGGGTTATATAAAAACTCTTCCAGATCCTAGTAAACAAAATTTTGAACAATAAAAAAAAACAAACGAAATAGGATCTGTGTTTTAATCAGATTGAATTATTACAAGTAGTGAAGAAAATGACTATCCCACTATCCCATCGTTTCGTCATATTAGGATTATCCAGGCATGAATCTATGTAGAAGACAGATATTATTTACTGTCTTTCACGCTTCCATGTAGTAAAATGATTATAAATTACTAAAATTTATCAAAGAATGTTAATTCTCCAATAAAGTGTACCTTGTCTGCCTACATCAAATTCTCCCATAAAGTGTACCTTGTCCGCCTACATCAAATTCTCCCATAAAGTACCTACATCAAATTCTGATTGTTAAGGGTTCTTTTACTTGTACACCAATGGACCTTGGTTTTCATAAACTTTTGAATGACTAGGTAACAATATAGTTGTCAGCCTGGCAGGTGTTACACCTGACAAGTGGGAACCAGAATTAACAAATCTGGTACATTCTAGTCGAGAGAGCTTACATGGCCCATGTACATATCAGAATTATATGATATATTTTAAAGACAAGTTACACAAACAGAGCATAGGAAAAGTATTTGGGAATCACCAAAATTAAAACTGTATCATGAGCTAGATTTCTTAAATAGAACAGTATTTATTTCCATAATTTAATGTTTTATTTTTAATTTCAGATATGGGCATTGATGGAAGATATATTTGTATATTATTAATTATTCCTACATCATCCTAATATGTCATTATGTATTTTGTTGTGATATTAAATGTCTTGTATTTATCTGAGTTCTCTATAAATCAAGTGATTTGATATACACCCCATTAAAAGCATCACCCTCACATTGGTTTCCGTAGAGAGAGTTACAGTGGCTTAGTTGCTGGCTTGCTAAACAGGATGTCTAGGATTCACTCTTTGAGTTGGGGAGGGCGGGGGGTTGGATGGCTGAATAGTTTGAGCGTTGTATCATAAGGTCTGTCATTGAGTTAACTGGCATGGTTTCGATTCCCCGGTTGTACACGACAAGGAGTAGGGTTTTCTCTGGGTCCTCACACTTCTAAAGACCCTTACACTATTGAACTCGGTGTTAAAACCTCTTCTTAAGTAAAAGAAAATAGAATTATGGCCCTAAAATATTGGTCATATTCAGTGTAGGATAAAGCACGAGATTGAGGTCGAGGACATTATCTTGCTTATAAACCGTCTATGTTTACATGTACGCCAAATGAGAATATCCAAGAATTCCCGTATGGAAAAAAAACCTACTCTGGAAGAATAACCGATTACAGGTTTTAGAGAAAAGCTTTCAGAAGAAGATCCCCAAATTTTCCCTGTATACATTTAAAGCCGTCCCTACTTTCAAACTGCAAGTTATTCCGGGCATAGAATATACCCCACAGATGAAAGGGATTTACCCTTATAGGTTTATAATTTCACATAAAACCATTTGATCTAATTTATGGTTTGCATAGATGAGACCACTGTGACCAGCAGCATAATCCCTACTTAATTCAATCACTCAAGCGTCCATTGAATATATTTTCATCAAGCCTCCAATGGATGAAGGAGGCTAGAATATATTTTCATTCATTGTCTGAATATATATATATATACAATCAATATACAACCGTTTTTTTGACATTTTATTATATAAAAATATGAACAGGTTAAAATATTTCATAAAACAAATATTGTTAGATTCATGATTTAAAATAAATATCTGAATTAAATCACATGGAATGTAGTAAATCTGGACATTTTATGTATTTTTCCTATAAAACATTAATATCTATGATACCTAGTCTGATCCTTCTATAAAAAAATATAGAAGAAACTGGATGTGTGTTATAAATCTAAACACATGGTTCAAATCCAAGTCATTATTTCTTTAGTTGAATCTTATAATTAGCCTAGGCAAAAAAAAATGTAATCGTCCATAAATTTTGAGTCCAATTCCACTCTAATAAGAACCCTTCCTTTTTAAAGATGCATTATGTAAGAGCTAAATCTGCCTATTGCTGGTCTTTATTTTGGCTTCAAATGTTATATAAATTATTTTTTAGACATTTATTCACATGACGAGCCCATAATCAACTCTCTAGAAGATCAGATTGCGCAGATATAAACGGATTGCAATTCGATCGCTATTTGATAATTTCATTTAAAAATGGCACAGGAGCGAGGCTGAGTCTCGATTAACAAGTAATGTTGCTGCGATAATAATCTATGTCAAAACTTCAAACAGTGATTAAGTAATTTGAATGAAAATTTTCAGTATAATTTTGCATTATCTATTTTTAACCTATTATAACAAAAACGGTCTGCTCTTTATCTAAATCTTACATAATGTATGGGAGATTGGAATAGACAATTTGAGAATTATGAAATCAGATGAAGAATAAATGTATAGTTTACCAATAAAAATATGATACTAAATATTAAAAATAAAGAGTAATGATAATATTTACAAAATGACTTATTACAAGGAATAAAAGATAAAATGTTTCTTTCATATGTTAGAAGACAACTACTATCAAAGTTGTGTAATATGATTTAGTTATGTTCATTTAACTTCAGAATAATTCATGGGATAAGTAATAACTTGAATATAGTACATATATATATGCTACACAAAAGACAGCAAATTATTTACACAATGGATTGTTTTAAACATTCAATTGTATATCGTGGGTGAAGTGTCAAAAGGGTGTATCTCAAGAATTTAGTGAAATACAATTTTTTGCATTTTTAAAATCTCCCAATTAATATGCACATTTCTGTCTAAGCTGTGTATCTCTACGCCAATTAGACCTGTTTTGGGTATCATGTGACCAAATGTTGTATCTTGATTTGTGGAAATTTTGAAATGCAAAAGGTTCTATTTCTTAATCTTTAGAAATTCTTAGATACACCCTTTTGACACTTCACCGACGATATTCAACTTTTATAACCTATAAAGAATTCAGAAATGGTATATTAAAAGATTTCAGTGAAAGCTGATTTTGTATCTAATTTTAACTCTCAATAGATTATTATAAAAGATATGTTTTATTTGATTAATCATCAGTATCTCTATATAGATAAAATGAATCTTGTATGATAATAGATGCGATTATGTTTCTGGGGCCTGTTTCACGAAATTTTAACTGAGATAAAATCCAAATTTTAGTAATTTAATTGGATAATATTAGATTGATTTTAGTGCTTAGCCAATCAAAATTGAAGTATCTACTAAAATTTGGATTTTATCTTTAGTTAAAATTTCGTGAAACAGGGCCCTGGTATTCTAATCAAGTACCGTTTCACTATTAACTATGATATCATTATGCTTGACAATTTTTTCAATCACCTTTTGAAATAAAAGTAGAAATTGCATACATGTAAGGTCACCATCATGAAGTTTTCTACAACATTTCACAGGTGGATATATTGTAGCACAAATTTCCTTAAACATAATATTTCTATTTACACAGTTTTAAGCATACGAATGCGAATAATTCTTTTCTGAGAATCGAAGTTCATAGGCCATGTCTCCCTTCATCTGTTCATCTCTAGATGACATTACCAATATGAAAACAACCTAAAAATAATAAAGAATTATTAGTAATCTTTAATTATCGGACAATAAAATTTATTCAATACACAACATAAACACAGGATTTTAGGGTCTGTTATTTACTAAAGGAAAGCGAATTGCAAATCTTCAACAAGAGGTTGCCAGGCAAGATACGCCCACATTTTGCAAAGAGATGGAAAGAGAACAAGCTTAAAACAAATTGGCAATTTTTCGTACAAGCAGGGGTCATAATCCAGAAAGTTACAGTTTGATATGCGTGAATATTGAAAGGAATCAAGATGTTTGGGTTATAAACATTTCAAGTTTCATCAAAATCTGATAAAAATTGTGACCTCTTAAGAGTGTCCACAAGCTAAAAATGTGTTTTTCCGTACAATCAGGGGCCATAATCCATGAAGTTATGATTCGATAGATGCCAATTTAGAAAGGACAGGGGCGACGACAATATACGTCAACATAAAAAGAAAGGTTGCCAGGCAACAAATTACATTTCAAAGTTTGCATATAAAAAATGATAAATATACTTTCATTTAGAAAATCATCTCATTTGGAAAACCAATCGAACCATGTCTCGTGTTACATTTTTTTTTTTTACTTATATATACCTTTTTTATTTTTATTTAATTCTCAGCTGATGATTTGCTAATTCTGTGCAGAAAAACTGTGCATATAGAATGTTGTAATAAGATGAAGAATACCCATTATTGATTACATAAAATAACAATACTCACATTTACAGACAATCGAAACATCCAAAACAGCCAAATAAAAACTACAAAGGCCAATCGCTAAAAAAAACAACATACAGGTGTTTTAATGTCATTAACATGATACAAAACAGAGAGAGAGAGAGAGAAATGGGGTTTAACGACCACTCGACACAAACTAGGTCATTTCGGGACTAACATATGGTTTAATTTTATTTACATAATTCACTTGCGCGTAGGGGTTTTTTTAGCAGTGGGAGGAAACCGGAGGACCCGGAGAAAACCCACGAGGTTGGATGATACAAAACAACACACCTGTCTCTCTCTCATTATGTTTATCATACATATATTGTAATGATAATCATGAGAGACAGAAACAGGGTTTAATGTCCACTCAACACAAACTATGTCATTTCGGGACCAACATATAGTTTCATTTTATTTCCCTAAGTCGCTTGCGCGTAGGAGTCTTTAGCAGTGGGAGGAAACCGGAGACAACCCATGCGGTCGGACAGGTGACCCTACTCCTTGTCACATACATATGGAAGGGTATCGCTGCCAATATTAAATGCTCTGCTAAATTGTCTTTTCCGTGCATTATATGTAAAACGTACAATGTACAAAGTCCTAATACTGGTAATGATAAAGTCAAAATACCTATTGAACCAAAGTTAAATATAACACGTCAAATGTTTTTATTGGAAAATAAGTTTTTGACATATCTACATTTTACATTTCTCTCATTACATTTTACATTTGCCCTCTGTCGCATCTCATTTGTCCTTCACGCTTTCTACATAGCATCTTATGCACAGCACTAACTTTGATATGCAAATGTAGGATATCATGTGACTTATTAACATATATGGAAACAAGGCTGAGATCAACCCAATGCACTATAAAGAGAGAGAGAGAGAAATGGGGTTTAACGTCCACTCAACAAAAACTAGGTCTAACATATGGTTCAATTTTATTTTAATAATTTGCTTGCACGTAGGGGTCTTTAGCAGTGGGTAGAAACCGGAGGACCTAGAGAAAACCCACGAGGATGGATAGGCGACCCTACTCCTTGTCACGTACAACTGGGGAAGACTCACTATAAGCCAGCACACTAATGAACTGGATGCTTGATCAATATATGTAAATAAAATGACTATTAAAATACTTACAAAGGTGTTCATTCCATAGAAAGAGAATTCCAATACAGAGAAACAAAATTCTACAAATGTGTAAAACGCAAACCAATTTCTGAACAGCTTGATCGTATCCATATACATCACAAAATGCTGAAGATGATAAAATATGATCAATAATATAATAAACCTTGATTTTAAGGAAACTAGTGTTTGTTATAAAAGTAATATAAACAGGAACCCATGGCCCCAAGTTCACAAAGCATTCTCAGATTTAAGTTAAGAATTTACTCAATCACTGTTTATGAGAAATATCTTTAATCCAGAAACACAAAACTTTGCACCTAATTGTAATCAGATTCGTAAAATGTTGAATGTGCTTACAGGCTCAATACCACTCTTGTTGTAACTGAATAAATGTCCCAATCTTTATTCTGGTCAACAAATTGTACTATTTTACAATATTCCAATTAATTGATGATACAAATTTCATCTTAACACACTAAAAGATTTGAAAAGCCTGACGTAAACCTTTTCAGATGTGACTTGGATTTAAAAATATTTTCGAACCCTCTGGACAAGTAAAATAGGATGTAATGGATAATTTACACAACAGGTAGGACACTTAAACATTTAATACTTAGAATAAGGCTAATATTTATTTACTGGAGCTGTCAAGCCAGCAAGAGTGTTATTGTCCCTTTAAGCTTATCTTATTAAAACCAGCTCATAAAATCATACAATTAGTAACAACTTACTTGTTTTGTGACAGACAATACCATAATAATGGAAAATATCCAAGTTGCAAAATGACCGAGTAGGATAATTATATCACTTGCAAGAAAAGCTGAAAAGGGATCATAAAATATATAGGTACATGTATGTCATCTATTAACGAGAATTTAATTAAATTCAACATTAAACATTATTTTCATTCAACATTCTGCTACAAAAGAGAGAGAAATGGGGTTTAACATCCACTCAACACAAATTAGGTCATTTCAGGACTAACATATGGTTCAATTTTATTTCAATAATTCTCTTACACATAGGGATCTTTAGCAGTGGGAGCAAACCGGAGGACCTGGAGAAAACCCACGAGGTTGGACAGATGACCCTACTCCTTGTCACGTACAAACGTGGAATTGAAACCACGCCAGATGACTCAATACAGGGTTGGGATTAGCGCTAGCCCTGTTTACATCTCATGACCTTTGACCAGACTTGAAGTTGGCCTAACCTTGGAATATTATAGCCCCTATTTGATAATCAAGGTTATAATATAGGGGATCCATATGTGATAGTCGAGACGTGTACATGGGTCATATATGTACAAGGGTGAGTATTACTGTGTATACCACCCTGTGATCTATGTGGTGGTGGAAGGTTGTATATGAATACACCTCATGGTCCATTATTTGTGGGAGTCTCACGTTTCAAACTCTATCTGGTCGGTCACCTCTGGCTTTCGGTCATGGTTTTAATCCCTGGTACGAGCGTATGTGGCTTGGGGATAGGGTCATCTTCTCAACCTCATGGGTTTACTCCAGGTACTCTGGTTTCCTCCGACAGGATAGACATCTGCGAGTGTGCTAGATAATAAAAATCAAAATAGGACAACTTGTCTGCGATATCCCCCTCCATGGAAGCGGATATTAACACTAAGAACAATGAAATGAAATGAAATGGGGTTTAACGTCCTACTGTTCTGCTCCGAACTGAGCTAATGAAGACAGGCATATACGCCATACAGTGTGCTATGAGGGAAATTTTGCCTGGACAGCAGCACTACGGCCTACACTTATATCCAATTGTCAAGGGATCTTCTACGTGCATATCATTGTGTAAATGGGACCCCAGTTTTTTGTCTCATCCGAACGACTAGACAGCTGTCCTTGTCAGGCCCTTCGTCCTGCATCAGTGACAAGGGGGAAACACGCTGGAAAATTTGGATGAACTTTCTCGGCCAATGCAGGGATCGAACTAAGAACAACAACAACACACATTTGTAAAGATATATCTACCTTCATGTTGATGAGATCTCCACTGTGTATGAAATCCTTGACTAATTTCAAAATCTTCAGATATAATGGCTGCCAAATCAACTAAACGCAAGACAATTGCAAAAAATACTGTTATCTGTAAGAAAGGAAAAAAACGTGAAATACATATACATATCAATATACCAAGATTTATCCAAGAATTAGTATCAAGTATTTTATGATTTATTAACCCACACTTTAAATATACCTTATGCAAGAGCTAAATCTGTCTATTGCAGGTCTTTCTTTAGGCTTGAAATGTTACATAAATTATAATAATTAATTATAACTTATCAAGACCATAATCAACTCTAGATGGCATCGCTAGCCTGTGATATTTACTGGATCTGAATACATTTTGTGATGGATGATATAACGTCAAATTGGATAATCGTGATTTACTTTTTTTATTGTACCGACTTTAGTAATGATGATCGAGGCTTGGCCTAAAATTGTTAATATCTTGGTTTAGAGTGGAGCAATTTGAATGAAATTTTCAGCATATTCTCTTTACATTATCTGTTTTTTATCTATCATAGCGAGAACAGTCAGCTCTTTATCTAATCTCCCATAATGTCCCTTTAAATCTCATAATAAAATAACAGAGTACCACTTCTACGCTAAATTGCCTCTTCCTAAAAATGGTCGAGCCTCAATCTGTATACTGTTTATACTAGCCGAAGTAACAGGTGAATTATCAAGATACTTTGTTTATAAACTGCACAACTAAAATCTTTATGTAAAAAATAAAAGGTCAACTTTATTGTATTTGATGTGTTGTTGATTTGTGAAGTGGTTAATTAAGTATTCTAGGCCCATGTCAACAGTTCCATGTTTAATATTATAAATTATCATTTTTACATGCTTAAATAGGCCTCTTAAAGATGCATATTACGGAAGATTAGATAAAGAGCTGGCAGTTATTCTCACTATAATAGATAAAAACTAGATAATGTAAAGGGAATTTGCTGATAACCGACTATCAAAAAGTGCGACAACAAATTTGTTCGAAACTGATTTACTAGGTCAAATTGCTTAAATTCACTCTAAGCTGAGAAAACCTTATTTTAAAATCACTGTAGCCTTGATTGTCATTGTTACTGCGGTCACGATAAATAACAAAGTCTTGAATATCCATTTTTGCATTTAATCATCAACAGACGTTGAACAGCAGATCGGATTCAAATCCAATGAAAATATTAGGGCCTACACATAAGATGGCATCGAGAGTTGATTGGTCTTTTCATGTTAATAAATGTCTAATTAATAGTTTTATAACATTTCAGGCCTAAAGAAAGACCTGCAATAGGCAGATAAATTGCCTCTTGCATAATGCATGTTTAATATAGGCCTAACATGTAGGTAAGAAGATACATGCATTGGAGTAACACAATTAAGACTAGGTTTATAATAATTAGAACTTTGTCCTGAATGTCGCTCCATACAATTCACTTCAAAAGAGGTTAGACTAGCAATCATTTTCCGTACCTTATCTTATAAAGGGTGTACAAAGGTATTCACAAATTCCAACTCATTATCGACCTCGCACTGATATATGTATGAAATTAGAACAGGTACAAAGTTTTATTAAAATAGGATGAAAAAATGTGGACATGGTTGTGTTCAAAATTAAGCAAATACCAGGTTTGAAATCACGCATCTTAGTCGATCCTTTGACATAATTAAAAACACTAAACTTACGTTTGTCCACAATAAAATGGTTACAAATCTAATATTCTTATATACGTACCAGTACATAAACAAGGCCAACAAATACAGCACTTGTCAGATTCCAGCAGAGGATTTTGTTCTTGAACACCGCCATTTTGGAAGTTTAACCTGTGTTTATTCCTACCTGTAATTAGGTCATCCTTTTAGGACAAATTATTAAATAAAAATACAGGTGTATATCATAGATTTTATTTTATACATTTAACTGAATGAAGTAATTTTGTACAATATACTTTACCTGAAAAAGAAAGAAGAATGAATTTCAACAGTATAAATACTTGTTAAAAATTGGATATTTCTTATAAATGTCATTAAATAATGATTGCTCCCCATTTTTACCTGTTCATGATCACCTGTAAAGAATTTTAGTCAATGAGTCATTTGTATCGTGAAGTGAAATGGTTATAAGATAATTTTGTAAATAAATTATTTAAAAAAAAACCCAAAGATCCTCTTCGAATACAGTATACACGTATTTACTTGTTTAACAAGAAAGTTATATAAACAGATTCAAAGTTAATTATTCATTAAGGTATTTTAAAACTCCAAAAAACAAAATCGCAAACATTAAATGAAATGAGTATAACAATTTTGCAGTAAATTAAAACCATTTTACTTTCTTAATAATATTAAATATCTTTTGGAAGAGTATTTAGTCAGGTTTTTTTTTATATCCCCTGCTAAATTTCACCCCTATTTAATTACTAACACAAAATACATCGGGTGGAGAAAAGGGAACAAGTTTAATTATCTTTCGTATATAGCCCGTTTGTTCGTTTGTTTCTGGAGTTTTACGTCCACTTCCACCAAGTGTGATATCGTTGACAAGTCTTTCCTAAGAAACTTGCCAGAGGAAGCCACAAAATTGTCTTTGCAGGGGCCCAAGGTGAATTTCATCCAAAGTATAGCCCCTTATATCAGCGGTTTTCAGTGACACTTGACGACTCCTTTATCTTTTTTGAGTTTTACTTTTCAGTCAGATATTAAACTACGATTTTTGTAACTTTTTCGGAGAAACGTAAACACCCAAATTTGATACATAAGCATAGTAATTAATTCAAAAAGGGATTCAAAATTATTCACCGATGTGCGACGTGGTCTTTGGTTAAACTATAAGCATGAACCTCTTAATAGCGAATAATTCCAAATTTTCGTCCTGATTCGACTTTTACGTCGTATGTCGTGGCTTTCTAGCGGCACAACTTTCTCATGAAAATGAAATGAACGGAACACAGGCGATGTCTATAAGACGATGTTAGCAGGCCCGTAGCCAGAGGGGGGCAATGCCCCCCCCCCCCGAAAAAATGTTTTGCCCCCCGAAAAAAATTTTTCCGATCATAGCTCTAAAATACCTACTGTAGACTGTGCCCCCCCCCCCCTAAAAACTTCACTGCCCCTCCGAAGCTAGCAAGCTGGCTACGGGCCTGGATGTTAGTTTGTTTATGTTTCTTTTTTCAAAATCTCATTATGAAGTGTTATTAAATTGAAAATAGTCATTTCTAAAGTACTATTTATAATATAATATATTTTTAACCGACTGTCAAATAGTAGGCTACGACACCAAATTCGTTCTAAACCGATTTACTAGGCTCCTTATTATCTCCCACAATGTTAGTTGCAATTATTCGATTTTTATACTCTCACATTTTCAAGTGGGTGTATATTGTCGTCGCTCCTGTCCGTTCGACCACAATTTGTTTGTGGACACTCTACAGGTCACACTTTTTATCCGATTTTGACGCAACTTGAAATATAGGTTTATCTCCAAAAGATCTCGGTTCCAGTCGATATTGGCATGTATCGGACCGTAACATCATGGATTATAATGGCCCCTGATTGTACGAAAAATCACGTTTTTTTAGTAGCTTGTTGACACTCTAGAGGTCACAATTTCATCTCAATTTGATGAAACTTGAAATATATATTTAAAACCCAAAGACCTTGTTTTCTTTCGATATTTGCGCATATCGGACTGTATAACTTCATGGATTATGGCCCCTGATTGTACGAAAAATCGCGTTTTTAACTTGTGGTGCCTCTAGAAAAAACAATTTTTACCCGATTTAAAAAGCCGATGGAATATATCACTGTTACACCCTAATGAAATAAAATGAAATGGGGTTTAACGTCCTACTGTTTTGCTCCTAAACTGGGCTAATGAAGACGGGCATACGCCATACAGTGTGCTATGAGGGAAATTTTGCCCGGGCAGCGGCGCTACGGCCTACTCTTATATCGAATTCCAACTGCCAAGCGATCGTTTACGTGTACGCCAATTTGTACAAGGGACCTCGGTTTATCGTACTATCCGAACGACTAGACAGCTGTCCTTGTCCTACCCTAATGATGGTTGAGTTCTTAAAGTAAAAGAAAGCTGGGGTAACTTTCTATACCCAGTGGCGTGGGTAGGATTAGAATTAATTACGAGAAAAGCTCATAATACCTTAATCTCTAACTCTGTTAAACGAGTATTTTAACAGGAATTCATCTAAATTAAAACGAAGTAATATTGGTCTGGTATAATACCATAGCATTGTTAACCAGTTATAGGGAGACAGAACAACATACAAAAGAATACGTAAGGATCCTACTGAAAACAAACATGGTAAACACTACAATATTCCAAGGAGTCTTAAAGAGCAGAAGGAAATCCCAGAATCCCTATTCCATCATCTAAAACTAACGCACCCTAAACCGACATAAGATATATAAGGGCCCTATTAAAGCCCGTTTACTATAGTCTGTTCCAGAGACTCGGCCCACAATACCGTACCGCCCAATACTTATCCAAACAACTCTTCTTCCTAGGCAAGCCCGTAGACTCATTCATCAAAGACAGACTTTTGCATGCAATTTAACAATCCAAACCGATGTGGAAAGGTGATATCATATGATGTTGTGGATTTGTTCAACAACGTCCCAAGAACCAAAGCCTTACATATCTTGAAGAATCGACTTGACGAATTAGATGAACCGATCCACCCAACCCAAACCATGATAAAGAGAGAGTGCACCTGGAGTTGAGATATTTCCAACGGGGTGACAATTTCTACGAACAGATCCGCGGCCTTGTCCATGTGCGTATATCCATTCCATTTAACGGTAAGGTATTTTACCAAATTAGGTGACTGCTACACCACCGTCCAGGGAGAGAAGTACCTTTCCTCAAAGGGTCAAGCACCAAGGCCATCCTAAAAGCAAACGGAAAGTTAATACTCCGCACCAACCCACCCCAAGCCCTCCTTCATCACCAACCCAAAGACTGGGTTTACCATATCAAATGTAGCTGCGGAGAATCATAAATAGGAGAAACATGAGACCCACTTTGTATTGTCAAGAATCTTGGCGTTTGGCTTGACCAGCAGCTCAATATCAATCATCAGGTATCAAAGGTTTGTCAGGCAACCAATATGCACCTCAATATATCACAAAATCAACAAAACAGACTACAATCCATTCAGAACTCAGACGAACGCGCCATCTTCAGGATTCGGTACCCCATTACTACAGAAACTCCACTGGCTTCCCAAAAAATACAAAACTCCCATATACAGCTACAAATCTCTACAACTTAGCCCCGAGATGCCTTTCTCAATTTTTACATGACCACCAAGAACTTTCAAATCTAAAAACCCAAAACTATACAAACTTCCTCGTGTAAAGACATCAATATTTGACAATCGGTCCATTGCTGCTGCCTGAAGGAACGACATACCGAAGAATATTAAATTAGCCAAAACGTACAGAATTTAAAACGTTTCCGGTGTTAGGACAGTTCTCTTGTAGTGCGTCCATATATACCAATTCCCCTTTTCCATGGCATTATTTGCTGATTTTCTGGTCTGAAATAAATGAAATTAATGAAATGAAATGGGGTTTAACTTCCTACTGTGATGCTCCGACTGGGCTCCCCGTGGTACAAGCACATCGGCGAGCGGGAGGGTCGCGGGGGTGTACTGTCCGCCCGGGCTCGAAATTATTTGAAGGATACTGCACGATCTCTAGCGCCATTTTGGCATATATCTGGGGTGACTGAAGGTCACTTTGCTAAAACACAGAGATATAACATAACACAACAAGCTATAATATTCCTAATGCATGTACTACGTTTTAGTTTTACTCATGTAATAATAATCCGATATACACGATTTTGACAGGAAATTTTAAGCAAGCAAACAAATGGAAAAACAAAACCCGTGACCATCAGACGCCAAAATATCAAAAACGAAAAAAAGAAATTCATCACATAAACTATTCGTTTATTTTTATCAATGCTCAAAATCATGTAGGACTGCATACAAGCGGAAGGGGTCCGGATACCCTGACGGTGACAACAGTCTCAAGTGGCGGAATGACGAAGGGCCGGGGCGCGAAGGCCCGGGCAGGTGTCTTATAGTTTTTAATCCACCATATTTTCCAAAAGTGTAGACTGACGTTAAGAAAAGTCACCAGTTTTATTCTATTTTACGACCAAATGGCAGTGTATCTTTTTTTTTTTTTTTAATTTATACCAACAGTTTTTTTTAAAACATTACTCGGCATACCTCCGGAAACCTCTAGAGTACGGACCCCTGGACAATTAATGTCCCAACTGCCCCCCCCCCCCTCCGTCACGGGACCTGACTGGGCTAATGAAGACGGGCATACCCATACAGTGTGCTATGAGATATGAGGAAAATTTTGCACGGGCAGCGGTGCAACGGCCTACTCTTATATCGAATTCCAACTGTCAAGGGATCTTTAACGTGCACGCCAATGTGTACACTTTGGTATTTCGTCCCATCCGAACGATATACGTTGTCCCTTGCCAGACCCTCTATTCTGCATCGCTGACAATGGGGAACCACGCCGGAAAATCCCAATGAATTGTCTCGGCGGCCAATGCAGGGAAAGAACACGGGACCTAAAGGTTACTCTTGCCAACGTCTTACTCACCAAGCCAACGTGGCTCCGTCTAAAATAAAAGAAGCGTGTTTGAACTTATATTTTCTGTCAGGTTTTTGTGAATAGTCATGCTTTTGAGATGGAAGGGTTAGGATGTACACAAACATGTATTAGGAACACCCCCCCCCCCCTCTCCCCATTCACGCGGATGGTACCTAACACACCCATCCACCCAAGGTCGATATCCAATGATTTTCTTTTCAGTACCCCTCTTTTACGTCTGGTACTTTAAAAAACATTTTCAATGCGATTTGAAAATTTTTCTTTTTGATATTTTTGCCTCTGATGGTCATGGATTTTGTTTTTCCATTTGTTTGCTTGCTCAAAATTTCCTATTCCGTTTGGGACTGTCTTTAACGTCAGGGTATCCGGGCCCCGGTAAGAAATCGGGGCCTAGCCCGGGCCTGTAGTACATGTATTTGATATATATGTTGCGTTAAATCTCAGTGTCCTGCATGATCGGGTCGCTTTTTTTCAAATTCTCGGTTCGAGATATGCACACATACATTACAGAGCAGCCTAGTGACAACGACCGTGACTAAATACTTTCATTACTAGTTGACAAATGGCTGGATTTATATGTGTTAAAATGTTAAAGACATAACAACATTGTTTGAAAGAGAAATTGTACATATTCAATTCGTAATAAGAACTTCGGAGTAGAAGGGAATCCCTGAACATTGCCGTCGAAGGGGGAATCCTCTTTGATTTTCTCATTATTTCTAATAGGTGACATTGTTGTTTACAAATGCTTTTTTCAACAAGCAAATAGTAATATAATTACCTTATTGATAAGATTATAACAATTAAATTATTTATGTGTGTTTTACCAGAGGTTAATTGCACTGCCGCAGCATTTCAATAATAGTTTTGACTGAAGTATTATTTCGTTCGCCCCCACGAAAAATGAACTATTCCCGACTTGCCAAAGATAGCAAGTTCACTGTCGCGTGACGTCATGTATGACAAAATGGCGGTAGATTTGGCACTTTTATGGACAGCAAGTTGACTATTTCTAAGTAAAAAGCGAAGAATCGATGGATTTAACCGTCATACGAGATGGCGGAGCCCAAAAGGATTCAATTGACGACAGTCACTGCAGTTGAGAAGGAAAAGAAGAGTAAATCAACGCCGAAAACAATACGTATCAACCTGACACTAAAGGACTCGACTGATACAACATGTCCCGAGTTTTCCTACACCGAATTAACGAGAAATGAAGGGGTAAGATGTGGAAAATTTCATGACAATTTTCATATTTATCACCTTTAATCTAGCTTTATTTACATCATAGACTGTCTTTTAATAAAATTCTTTTATTCCTCTCAATCTTTGGGAATTCCGTGATACCCGTAATGACCCCTAACAGGCGCACAAAATTGAGATTTGTCAGTAAAATCGTGAAAATCTACTAGGAAAATGGCTGAACAACGTTGGATAGTGTTCTCGAGTTGCATAGAAAAATAGACAGACATCGACAACGCCATATTGAACCTTTTCTCTCCTTGGTTTGTCTCTGAACAAATATATCAGGAGTTTGAGGGGAGCTGTGAGACAGCGAATGTCATCACCATCAATAGTCGTGTTGCCACTCCAACTCCATTCAAACTTTTACGTTAGGGTTCATTGTATGATATTTGGAATAAACTGATATTCTGGGTAAATTTGTTGGAAGCCACGTCCGTGATAAAATTAAATTACATAAACTGTTACAATATGGCCTGACTAGCTAACCCAGCCATATTTATGTTAGGTGAAGTAGGCTGGCTGTGGTGATCGAGTTTAGCATGCGTGCAAATTATTTTGTTGATTGTGTAGCCTAGTCGTGCAAAATGAATTTTGGTCCCTTGTTTGGAACAACATAACATTTTATCGGGAACGTAGATGATATGTCATGTTCATTGGACATGAATTTTATTTTTAACGAAAGCTAGATTTATGACTTGTTTATGATTGCACAATATAATGGGTACGACTTCACGAAAGGGGCGCTTCTTGTTATCGCTGCTGTATGGCAACTTATGGTTTTGTCGTAAATATGATTGTTAACGCATGTTTTGAAATTTGATTTTTATTTTCAAGACATTGTATGTTTAATAATACAAAATTTTAAAAAGTTTAAAAATGTAATTATATGAATTATGCGGCTCGTGACGTTTGTCATGCAGAGCTGGGTGGAAGTAGGTCAGTTGCTATTTATAGGTGTAGTATGCCAGGCGGGTCGCATATCGGGGTATTATAGAGAGCGGATTAGCACAGCGCTTTAGTTTATTTTTGGTACTTCGATCTTTGATTTATTTTATCGACGTTTAGATTATTTAGTGTTGCTAGGAGACTCGGCGCTGATTTAGGGTTGGTTTCTTGCGCATGAGCTGGAATGTAATGTGTTATACATGCGATATTAGGCTTTGCATGATAAAGGATATAGTCGTGTACTCTACAGACTATAGTACTTGTAGTTCAGTGTCGATGTGATAATTATACAGTGTTGGGCGCATGCTAGTTAATGTGTGTTTTAACAATGGCGCGTTGTATGTACATGTTCGTGCATAATATTACACGTGCGAAAATTTAAAGGGACACTTTTTTTTTTTTTTTTTTTTTTTTTTTTAAAATTAGTTATTGGATAGATTTAAAATGTTTTCGAATTCCTTCCCAATAAAATGAAAGTTAATTGTTATCTTATTTTGTTTAATAAATAAATGATTGTAGACTTCATGAGTTGGGAGTTTGCTTTTCTTCTTTTTTTCACCAACTTGTTTGTTTGGAATTTCCAAAACACAGCGTATAATAAAATGTAAATAGTTAAAATATGGAAGTTGAAATATGATTTGGATGATTAGACTTCTCTTCATATTTTTATTTTTTATTTTTCCTGGTTGTTTGACAGGCCTTAGTGGAAGTTATATAGGAATTTCAGACATAATTATTTCCATGATTAAGCAAATGTTTAAATATAAACTTTGATCGTCTCTGGCATTTTTTTCAGACAATATCTGACTTTTCTCAACTTGACCCACATAATTTACTGATTATTAATTAAGAGAGAGAGAGAGAGAAATGGAGTTTAATGTCCACTCAACACAAACTAGGTCATTTTGAGACTTAACATATGGGTTAATTTTATTTCAATAATTTGCTTGCGTGTAAGGGTCTTTAGCAGTGGGAGGAAATCAGTGGACCCGGAGAAAACCCACGTGATTGGACAGGCGCCCCTACCTTGTCACGTACAATCGGGGAATCGAAACCACTTGAGTTGACTCAATGGCAGACCTTATGATGCAACACACATGCGCTAACGTTTCAGCCATCCAACCCCCTGCTTTTAATTAAGAAAAAATTAAAATATCTACATGGATGGTAGATTATTCATCCCAATGAAAAAGAGGTACATCAAAAGATTTTAACAAAAATCGTAACTGCTACTTGCTTGTCTCAGACTAAGTCATCGTCTGTAATGGGTACCGGTACTGAATGTTGACAAATTTTCAAAAATACTGAAGGGAATTGAACTGTTTTTGAACTGAGATTACTTTTACACTCCCCTTATAATACTTAACAAAAATAATGACTGCAATGTTTTCTGTAGATTGTATTTTAGTTGATCATAAAAAAAATGAAATAACCCAGGTGAGATGCTGTCTTTGTCTCGATGTTAATTGATAGAATTGAGTTAAAGTCCTGATGTGGCATTTGCATTTGTCGCTAAAATGGGGGGTTGGATGGCTGAATGGTTAGCATGCGCGCGCTGTATCATAAAGTCTGTCATTGAGTCGACTGGCGAGGTTTCGAATCCCCGGTTGTACGTGGCAAGGAGTAGGGTCGCCTGTCCAACCTCGTGGGTTTTCTCCGGGTCCTCCGGTTTCCTCCCACTGCTAAAGACCCCTACGCGCAAGCGAATTATGTAAATAAAATTAAACCATATGTTAGTCCCGAAATGACCTAGTTTGTGTCGAGTGGATGTTAAACCCCATTTCTCTCTCTCTCTCTTGTCGCTAAAATATCCAATTTATCACGGCTTAATTCATACTAATCTGTACTCAGATAAGTTAACATATTAAACATACATCACAGTCATTGTTTTTTAAGGCGAGTGATCGCTCTCTAGCACCTGTCGCGCACCTGAATGTTGACCGAGGGGAGGTTTTGCTCCCTCTCCATAAAATTTAAAATCATTCTCCTGTACAAAGTCATGGGGTGGGTTTATTATCATTTATCAAACTAGGAATTACCCCCGTTCATGCGGTTATTGATCTTCAGAACCATTTCAGAACTAGTCACTCTCCTTAACATCAGATCACTCTCCTTAATTTCTAAATCACTCTAGATCGAAACTGGGAGAACTTTTTTAGGGAACGATTTCATCCAGATTTTCTGGCGTGGTTCCCCTTTGTCAGTGATGCAGGACCTCACAAGGACCTCACAAGGACAGCTGTCTAGTCGTTCGGATAGGACGAAAAAACGAGGTCCTGGGTACACATTTGATATAGCACATTGTATGGTGTACGCCCGTCTTCATTAGCCCAGTGTGGAGACGTTAAACCCCATTTCATTTCTTTTTCATTCATAAACTAAGCTAATATTGGGACCTAGAAATTGACCCTAATGGGTCACAACGCATATAATAATGTAATCTGATTGTATATAAACTGATTTACATTCAATTGTTTTTGTTTTGACTCTAATTCTAAATCAGTTATGTCCAGTGAAATACGGCAATTTCTAGCATCTGGTTATTCCAGTCTATTACGCATGCTCTCTGGATAAGATATGGCGTCACCATTTGACAGGAGTTGTGGAATATGTCTAGCCTCGTTCTTTCTGGTCACTTGTTACAAATGACGCTGAAACGCACTATGGTACACGATTCGTGTACCAACAGTAAAATGTTTGTTTTGTCGTAAATATTGGATATCAGAAGCCTACCTTTTCCCGGTAAGATCACAACATCAGTGTCGATTTGAATTGACAAATAATTTGTGTTTTCAACGTGCAAGACTTTGGATGATATTGAGCTCCTTTAATATAACGTTTTTTTTTATTGATTCAGGGGGATGTGTCACAAGATGGAAGCTCCACCTATCCATTTGGTGATGAAGATGATGATGGCAAAATGGCTGCAATTGCCAGAGCATATGAAGAAAAATATGTGAGTTCTGTAGAATGTTTAAACTTTTTGAAAGTGTTTTTCAGGTGAAAAAGCCTACCTGTACTGAGTTTGATGATGATTTTTTTCTGCTTGGCGTAGCAGAGATAAGCAATTTGATTCATTGATGCTTTGTGACACTATAACTTTGATTCTAATTGAGTGAGAGTGTCAACTTGGTGTATACCGGTAATTTCATTGCATAAATACCTTGACTAAGTTCGATGATAAGTTTTGGATGTTTCTAATGGATTACCCACAGTTCCGTGCACCATACGCCAAAAACTGATCCTAGTGTAGTAAAGACAAGTAAAACAAAATTTTGAATTATGAAAAATGAAACGGAATAGAATCTGTGTTTTAATCAGATTGGTTTAAATGATATTTTTTTGTTTTCAGGCACCAAAGCCTAAGAAGTGTAAGAAAGGTGGATATAAGGATCATTTAGAAGATTTAATAGATCTTGGTGAAGGATACGATGAAGATGATCCATTTATAGATAATGCTGAAGCAGTAAGTAGGATGGGATGGGATGGGATGGGATGGGATATTGTTTCTACATTTTAAATCCATCAAGTTCATACCGTACTCATACCCTGTGTATGTTGTCTGTTCATCTGTTTGTCTGGTAATGCTTTACATTTTCAATTTCTTCATTTGTACTACTTGATCTTGCTGGATTTCTATCTAATTTGGTAGGTATGTTCCTTGGATGGTGGTTATGAGTTTTGTTGTCCTCCTCCTTGTGAAGAAAGTAGGGAACTATTAAAATGGGTCTGTCCGTGACACTTTTTGGGACACAATAACTCTCCTTCTAATCAGGGAACAAAATAACTGTTGACAATTGGTTACCAGTGTGGAAATGTTTTAATAAATTTTTGCTAATCAAATCAAAATTTTGATTATCAGTTTTGGTCATTTGAGGTGTAGCTACAATCTATCATGAATACTAATTAAATGTAGCAGTTTACTTTTTAGTACCATAATAGCCCATAGCTGTGTTTATTAAATTTTGACAGTTATTGTCATTTTGGAAAATATTTTTTTTAATTCATATTTTGTGCACAACCTGCAAGCTACATTGGCATGCACGTAAAAATTCCCTTGGCAGTTGGAATTAGATATAAGATCAGGCCATAGCACCGCTGTCCCGGCAAACTTTCCCTCATAGCACACTGTATGGTGTATGCCCGTCTTCATTAGTCTATTTGGAGCAGAATAGTAGGACATTAAACCCCATTTCATTTCATTTCTTTGTTGTTATTTATTTATCAGATAACTACTCTTTCCAACCATCTGACCCATCTGGACTTTGTACCAGTATTCACCTGTTTAAAAATAAACTGAAATCCCCCAAATACTATAGTTTATAAGTATTCACCTTTAATTAGTATCATTTCTTGTTTTACAGTATGATGAGGTTGTACCTGTATGTATGACAACTACATTAGGTGGTTTCTATATCAATTCTGGTTTATTAGATTTTAAATATCAGTCGGAAGATTCTGTTGATGAATTCCGATCAGATACGTCTTTAAAGAAGAAGAAAAAAGTCAAGGTATCAATTTCTTTTGTCCAATTAGTTTTAATTAAACACTAGAAGCCTTCGATTTGTAGTTCAAGGAACCTTCGTTGTATTTCATTCAGGATATTCTGTCAGGATTTTTGCGCCTCACTTTGCTTTGACATCTGCCCCATTGTTCATTCATTTATGACTTGTTAAATATTAATAATAATGATGATAATAATGTATATTTGTAATGTGTTTAATAATCTATTCATATACGCATGCTCAAAGCGCAACACACATAAACAATCTGTTTCTAATCTGCATAGTAGAGTTTAGATAAATGGGTTTTTAGTTGTGACTTAAAGATTGTGAAAGTTTGAGATTCTCTAATGTTAACTGGTAACTGATTACAAAGGAGAGGTGCAGCAGCACTGAAACTTTTATTGTTTTAGTTTTGGTTTAGGAACAGCAAGTATATTTTTGTTACTTGACCTTCGAGTACGTTTAGGTTTATAGTTTGTCAAAAGTTCAAATTTCAAATATAAGGGAGGAAGATTATTTTGAGATTGATACACTAATGACAGAACTTTATACTGAATCATGGGTTTGACAGGCCACCGATGAAGAGACTTTGGCACCAAAGTTATGAATGAATATTTTGAAGTTCTTGTTATTCAAATCATTTAGTTTGTGAACCCAGTTGAATTGACCACCTTTATACAAAGTTAAACAGAGAGATAACAGGGGAAAAATTGTTCATTTTAATCCACAGCAAATTACATCAGATACTGATAGTGAAGTTGGAGACAAGAAGATTGTCAAGGTAAAATCTTTATATATTAAACGACAATATTGTTGTAGGCCAGTATCACATATTTAAAGGACAAGCATCAGTTGACCTGACAATGTCGGTGACAAGTACCTATCTTGTCAATATTATGAGTTTGCACGTTGTTAAATAACTGTAATATTTTTCGAGAAGATGTTATTGAACTGAACTGACCTTGAAATCGAATTTATCATCACTGTAAATTCTTATATTTTAGAAGAGCAAATTGAATTTATCGTCACTGTAAATTGTAATATTTTAGAAGAGAAAATTGAATTTATCATCACTTTAAATTGTAATATTTTAGAAGAGAAAATTGAATTTATCGTCACTGTAAATTGTAATATTTTATCGTCACTATAAATTGTAATATTTTAGAAGAGAAAATTGAAGGATGCCGAAGGTGGTTTGAAAAAGAAAAAACGTCTGTTGAGTTCTGATGGAAAGAAAATAAACAAAACTAAATTAGGCATGAAATTTAAGTAAGTATATATATAAGCTTTAATTAAAATTCGGGGAGCCACGGTGGCTATGTGGGTAAGACACTGGCTTGCTAGCCAGGAGGTTGTGTGTTCGATCCCTGCATTGGCCAAGAAAGTTCATCGGGATTCCCCTTGTCAGTGGTGCAGGACGGGGGGGTCTGACAATGACAGCTGTCTAGTCATTCGGACAGACGAAAATCTGAGGTCCGGTGTATACATTGGCAGTTGGAATTTGATATAAGAGTAGGTCATAGTGCAGTTGCCTTGGCAAAAATTTCCCTCATAGCACAGTGTATGGCGTATGCCCGTCTTCATTTGCCCAGTCAGAGCAGAACAGTAGAATATTAAACCCCATTTCATTTCATTTTAAAAATTAATTAAAATTCAGTAACCAAGGATGCATTATTATTGTTCTTTTTTACATAACCATTATTGAATGCAATTTATTAGTGGTATTATGGTGATTAATGGATTTTGCTTGAATTATTGATCAATTCACATTCTCTAATATTTTTGATTTGATCTATTGATGTCTGTTTTACAACAGCTGGTTGTACCCCTACCCCCTCCCATCCCAATCCTCCATACTAGAGAAGATAAGTTAAAAATGCCCTTCGACTTTTGAAAATATCATCAATATGAAAACTAAAGATAATGTTTATTTAATGTTCTTAATGTGGTGGCTCAGTGACTAGGATACTGTCTCGTTGACCAGGATATCTTGGGTTCGCTCCCGGTGTTGTCCGAGAAAGTTCCTCAAGATTTTTCGCCTTGGTTTTCGTTTGTCAGTTGTGCAGGATGGAGGGCCAGGCAAGGACAATGTCTAGTTATCGGATGGGACAGAAAAACCCAAGGTCATAAACATTGGCATGCTGGAATTTGAAATAAAAGTAGGCCAGTAGGACGTTAAACACCATTTCCTTTCCTAATTAAATGAAATGCCGTTTAAAAATTTGAAGAAAGTACCCCAACATCCAGTCAATCAGACCTACTAACTACATACAATTTCAGAAAAAAGACGTCGCCTACAGTAGCAGAACTTCTAAAAGACCAGAGAGTTTCGACATCTCCTAATGGTATTACAACAAATGGTGATACACCAGTACGTGGTGGTGATGGACGAGGTGATGCTAATTCTAATCCTACTATTGGATCAACTATTGATTCTCTATTAGAACAAGCCATGAAAGATGATTCTAGTCAAGATCTAGAAGAAAATGATAAATCCGGTGTACCAGAATCTATAACAGCGTTACCATCCAATATACCCGAGTCTCTTCTACATATGGTTAACTCTATTAAACTGGTATGTTTTATTTATTGATGAGAATGTGACTATCACAATGTTTTCAGTTTCCTTCAATTCGCAAAATGTGACTATCACAACGTTTTCAGTTCCCTACAATTCGCAAAATGTGACTATCACAATGTTTTCAGTTTCCTACAATTCGCAAAATGTGACTATCACAATGTTTTCAGTTTCCTTCAATTCGCAAAATGTGACTATCACAACGTTTTCAGTTTCCTACAATTCACAAAATGTGACTATCACAACTTTTTCAGTTTCCTTCAATTGGAAGTTATCATCTCACAAACTTGTGCAATTCAGCCATTTTGTGTGTTAATTCCCAACGTAAAACATTTATAATTTGTCATAAAATTAGAGAAAATTTATCTATACCTGTTTTCTGCTAATTGCTGTAAAGGATTTAGACTTACTGTTTATTATTGATGTAACTGTTTACAATTATATTCCAGGCCGCCATTAAATCAAGTGAAGGCAAATGTAAATTTTTTACAAATGAAGTTAATAACATGTTACTAAGGTATAAAAAGATTTTTCTTTTCTAAAACGGGGGGTTAGATGGCCGAATGGTTAGCACGTATCATAAGGTCTGTCATTGAGTCAGCTGGCGTGGTTTCGATTCCCTGGTTGTACATGACAAGAAGTAGGGTTGCCAGTCCAACCACGTGGGTTTTTTCTGGGTCCTCTGGTTTCTTCCCACTGCTAAAGCCCCTACGTGCAAGCGAATTATTGAAATATAATTGAACCTTATGTTAGTCCCGAAATGACCTAATTTGTGTTGAGTGGATGTTAAACCCCATTTCTCTCTCTCTCACTTTTCTAAAACCGATTCACATTCAAAAGGACAAGAGTTTGTTAGCGATACGAACACCTCAAAATTAAAGGTGTATCAAGGTTTATATACTATTCAAAAAAAGTAGGGGATATTTGATTTTGGGGGCATAATACTAAAATATGCAAATGACTACGAAAAAAGTCACTATAGAACCTAACAGAAGAAACATTTCCAGTTACATGTGACGCCCAAACGCACCAATAGCTACCGCATGGAATGCAGGTGATGCTTGGGATCATCATGGGGGTCCAACCCAAGATTTGCACGACTCTGACTTTGAATGTTACAGTCATTGTGGCATTGAATTCCAGGGTGGAAACATCAGTTTAATTGTTTTAGTGACCAGAAAACAAATTTTGATATGCGTCGGCTTACCCAAAATGAAAGGTTACGTGCCCTTGGCATGCTACAGATCGGCACAACACAGGCGGTTGTGGCGCGGACGATGAATGTTTCTCAGTCTGTCATAAGCAGGCTATGGTCCAGATACCGTGATACACAATCTGTACAGGACAGACCACGCTCAGGTCGACCAAGGGCGACAACTCAAGCCCAGGATCGATTTATCCGTACCTTGGCCTTGAGAAATCGTGTCATCACAGCAAATCAGATCAGCGCTCGTCTTCAAACAGACACTGGTGTGAGAGTGAGTGGCCAGACGATTCGGAATCGACTGCATAGGGGTCACCTTCGCGCCCGACGTCCTCGCGTGATCCCTTGTTTGAGAGATCATCACATTCAGGCAAGACGTCGTTGGTGTAGGGATCGTCAACACTAGGATAATCGACGCTGGAGCAATGTGATGTTTTCAGATGAGTCAAGGTTCACTGTTGATTTTTTGGACAGACGTAGGAGGGTGTGGCGTCGTCGAAACGAGCGCTTCCAAGACGTTAACGTCATCAGACATGATCGATTTGGGGGTGGTTCTGTTATGGTGTGGGGAGGCATCACTGTTGCTGGAAGAACGGCTTTACATGTTGTTGCAGGGCGTGTTACAGGCCAGTACTACCGGGACAACATCTTGGCAGTCCATGTTGTGCCGTTCGCACGACGTCATGGCCGCCGTTTCATCTTCCAGGATGACAACGCAAGATGTCACAGGGCCAGGATCGTTACAGGTTACCTCCAACAACAGAACATCACCACATTACCTTGGCCAGCACTGAGTCCCGACCTCTCCCCCATCGAGCATGTCTGGGACATGCTTGGACAGAGGTTACGTCAACGTCAACAACGTCCTGCCAATGTCCAAGAACTTGCTGCTGCGTTGCAACAGGAATGGGACAATCTGGACCAAAATGACCTTAGACGTCTCATTAGGAGTATGCCACGTCGGATCAATGCTTGTTTGGCAAACAGAGGAGGATTTACCCGTTACTGACTTGGTTGTGATGCTGTGGTAACTTTGCTGTTTGACCCCGGGTATCATTTTACCCTTATAATGGTCAGTCTGTGCCTTACTTAGTCTAACGATCATTTGGAATAAATCGATGAATGTGAACTTCATTTCATTTTGTCATTTGTTTCTTCGTCAGTTTCATTAGGTGACTTTAATAACACTTAAAAATCAAATATCCCCTACTTTTTTTGAATAGTATATTACATGGTCTTTGTTCTTTTGCAATGGCCCAGTTGGTTCTCACAAATAGGAGGGAGCCAAGGTGGCTAAGTGGGTAAAATCCTAGCTCACTAGTCTGGAAGTTGTATGTTTGATGCCTGCTTGGCTGAGAAAATTCATCGCGATATTCTGACTTGGTTTCCTCTTGTCAGGGGTGCAGGATGGGAGGGCCTGACACGGACAGCTGTCTAGTCATTTGGATGGGACGGAAAACCAAGGTCCCATGTATACAATGGCGTGCACGTAAAAGATCCCTTGGCTGTTGGAATTCGATATAAGAGTAGTCAATAGTGCCGCTGCGCACTGGGAAAAATTTCACTCTTAGTACACTGTATGGCGTATGCCCGTCTTTATTAATCCAGTTTGGAGCAGAACAGTAGGACGTTAAACCCCATTCCATTTACAAATAGGAGTTTAAACAATATTTTGTTTAATTTAGATCGCTTTTGAGAATCTGATTTATAGGATCAAAACTTATTTGATATTATTCAAAATAAAATATTTAATTGGGTTGATTTAGACGATTAAAAGTTTAGAGAAATCAAGTGGACGTCAGCTGGTTTACTAATCCCTGCCATTATCTAGTTATGCTTTCTTCGGTCAGAACAGCTAAAATGTGAAATGATCTTCCAAAAACTCTTTGAGAGTCCTCCTTCCAGAGCTTTAAGGCTAACTTAAAAACATGTTTATTTGAAAAATTGTTTTTGAACTGTTTTGTTGTGAGTGAATGCGGATAGAAACACTATAAATATCATATAATAATTTTAATTTGGGGTACATGTTTTAATATTTTATGTTAATTGTTTTTGTAGTATTGAAGTAGCAACGAGACAGTTAACATGTGGACAGCGTTCTAGTATATATGGTCATTTAGCAGCTTATCTCCCCTGTAGTAAAGAAACGCTGTTAAAACGAGCAAAGAAGTTGAGACTTAACGAAGTAGACGACAAATTACGAGACCCCATCAATAATTTACGTGAGGCTATAAATAAAGTGATGCCAGCGTTAATGGATATGCATGAAGCAGAATGTCAGTTGACTTTACTTGCTAGGTGGGTAATAAATTTAGATCAGTTTGTGTGAACAAGACTTAACGTTAATATTTAAATGTAAAACATATCGCGACCTGGTTCTAACTAACATTTTTGTCAAAATTGAGTTTGATAGTAGTGGATAGTGTTGGTATTACAAAGTTCTATCTAATATAGTGATCTTACGTCCACAACACAATTACAAAGTTACAACACCATTCACTATTTTCACAATTAGAAATTGAACTTTACAAGCGATTTTCTCAAAATGACCAAAGTGTTAGTTAGAACCCTGAAATTCTCAGGTTGCGATATCTTGGAATTATTTACAGACACCCCAGCACATCTGCAGTTTTTGCCGAGTTCTTTTCTCCCGTTCTTGCCACTTGTCCATCCCGGACATGAGAAGTACAACAACAACAATAACTTCACAGTTTGTCGATCATGTCGACTAAGCTTGATAACTGTGGAGCTGCAGTCATACAAAACAAAGCAACCCACATGGAAATCTAGAAAGATGTTGTTTAGAGCAATTGACATGTTTTGGTTTGCCTCAATCTAGAGATGGGTGATGTTTCAATATTTTGGCTATAACTGGTGTGATAATTCTAGTAACAAATATATTGTTACGTAAAGAAATAACGGCATTATCGTCACTCATATACCTTCGAAAAATATTTTAGTGTTAAAAATGAGAGTTAAGTCCCCTTATACTTTCCCACATTCAGTATGATACTCTTAAAGCTGAAATTATTATTGCTTTTCATAAGTTATATTCCCTAAAGTACTTCAATCAGTTGACATTCCTCCTCCTCAGCACATGTAAACAAACCTCATTACAAGTTCGACGTAATATGAAGCAATATGAATAAATAACTAGGCGTGGAACAAATAATAATCAGTAAGTTCTAGCTATTGTAATGATCTATAAAATTCGAAACCCCCACAAAAGGTTTTAAAAAGTATCTCAAAACTGAACTTTTTAAACAAATATACAAGTGATAGAATACGGTCAGACTTTTACCATGTGTATTAAATAATGTTCTCTTATGTCGTATGTATGGATTAATGTGTTGTCATTGTTGTAATTTTATATTAGTTGTACTTATGTAAAGTGCCAGAGAGCATCTTGCTGAGTTGAATTGTTGGCGCTATATAAATTAATTATTATTATTATTAAATTAGACAAGAAGGTAAAGAACGTGGCGAAGGAGAGATAAAAGAAAAAGAAGATGGATCAACAGAAAGTGATGAAGAGGATAAATCTAATACAGTTGATGGAGAAAAGAAGAAAAGGATTATGGGACCTCGTAAGAGGTTTGAGTGGTGTGATGAAACCAGGTACCTTCAAATCATAGTGTCTAGGTTTCTTTGGGACGTTAGATGGCCGAATGGTTAGCGTATGCGCGTTGTATCATTTGGTCTGTCATTGAGTCAACTGGTGTGGTTTTGATTCCCCAGTTTTATGGAGTAGGGTCACCAGCCCAACCTCGTAGGTTTTCTAACGGTCCTCCGGTTTCTTCCAACTGCTGAAGACCCCTACGCTCAAGTGAATTATTGAAATAAGATAGAACCATATGTTAGTCCCGAAATGACCTAGTTTGTGTCAAGTGGATGTTAAACCCCCATCTCTTTCCCTCTCTCTCTAGGTTTCTTGTTAGGTGTGGTTTGTGACCGTGAGGTCCGTCAGATATTACAAGAGTCTGGAATGGTTCTTCAAATCTTTAATACTGGAAACCTATAATAACAATTATCTACATACACTTACAGGACCGTGGATAACCGACTAGTACCTTATGCTACTACGTCGGATAGACCTAAATGACTCATGTATCAAGGACAATCACATATTTATATGGAATTACTTCTAATCACTTGGCTAGATCAAGTGTTGACATAAATAAGCATTGATGTAATAATGTACAATATAAGAAATAAAACAATGGTAAATAAAACAATTAATAGATTAATCATACGATTGGCATGTTCACGAGACAGGCTATATTGCCAGTTACTTTCTATCTATAACAGTTTTATAAACAATAAGGGATTATAATAAATTAACATGTCATTAGCATTACATAACATTTCATCATTGGCTAGTCACCTTTAAATAGCACACATACAATTAATGTTTCAAAGGAATAGAATAGTTATTGTCCCGAGAGTTTAAATAAATTCAATTTGAAGGCTTTCACTTTTAAAATTAATAATGCATTATCTTAAATATTCAAGATTTAAATTATAGCATATAACTACTATAACCTGCACGGTTATATTATCCTGTGCTTACTTACAGTGTCAATTCTTCATAATTACTATTGAAGAGTTCAATTTGAACTTGCTAAGTATTGTTGAATGAATAAGGCATTTGACAGGATGCTTTCTTAATCAAAACGTGTTATAAATAGTACATATTGTGGTCAGGCCATTTTGTTTAAATCTTTATATCATATTTTTATTTCAGGAAATGTCTTTTAGAGGTTGTGAAAGCTAAGATGCAGTGCTATGATATGTTGAAAACCAGAATGCAGTCACCAGAGGAATACCTTCGAACATTTTTAGATGCAGAAATAAAGCCATTATGGCCACCAGGATGGATGCAAACGAGGTAGGGCTTGTCTTCCTTTCATGTCCGTCTTTAGAAGATTCTGAATCCCAGTTTTAATTTATAGATATGAATATTTATTTGAAATATGGTCGAAAGGTTAACGCGTGCATGACGTATCATAAGGTCTGTCATTGAGTCAACTGGCGTGCTTTCGATTCTCTGGTTGTACGTGACAAAGAGTAGGGTCACCTATCCAACTTCATGGGTTTTCTCCCGGTCCTCCAATTTCCTCCCACTGCTAAATATTGATTTGGTCACAGAAAATCTTAGTCCAAAAAGTTCTGAAATGACAGTTGTGTTTCAGTGGCACCTAATTCCATTTTCGATAACTGAGGTGTAGAATCATGACCAGCACGTTAAAGACATGATCATCCAGTCTATTCAATTGATATTGTCAATGTTTGTTGCATTTAGGGAAACAAATCTGTAATGTTCAATTTAATATCACCATCAGTGGTCAGTGACAAAATTAGTTGATTCTGAATATCTGTTAGTGACTAATACTATGTCCATTCTTCGAGGGGGGGGGGGGAACCATATGTTAGTCCCGATTCACCTATTCTGTGTCAAGTGGACATTAAACCCCATCTCTCTCTCTCTCTCTCTCTCTCTCTCTCTCTCCATTCTTCGAAAATAATAGTATTCATACAAGCAGGTTATTGGTCTATAAAAGAGGATGTGGATGCCCTTGTGCCTATGTTCACTAAAAATTCTCCTTTACCAAATGAAATGTGCATTGACATCATCAAAAGTCATAATTTCTAAATCATATGTAATATGTCTGCCTTTAGCTTTACCAACTATTTTGGAGTTATCTTTCTTGATACGAGTTCAATGTTTGTTTTTACAGGATGTTGTACAAAGAGAGTAAAGTTGTACATGCTCCGTGGACAAACCCGTGAGTTTATTTTAATCATGTTTTCTTTTTGATTTTTTAATTGGATATAGAATATTTATTCAGAATCTGCACTTGAAATTAAATTTTTTAACATTTTACCAGTTTTTGCTAGAAAGAGTAATAGTGTAATTTTGTTGACTGCTCGAATAAGGTCATGTTGAAATCCGCACCACTACTTTCAGTTTAGTTTTTTAATACCCACAAAACATTCGGGCCTTGTTCATATGCAAGATTATATTCATTGGAATTTGTTTAGTTTAGATTAGATTTTAATCATATTATTTTGATTTTAATTCAATTTGGTATGTTTGTTTGATGTTCCACAAAAGATTGATATTTAGCCAATGAAACAGTCTATTACCGCGAGTTCTTGTCGTGCAATGCACGGAACTGTGGGTATCCCTCTGGAAACATCAACGCTGATTGGTTAATCAAATGCCTGACATCATAAGGTCAAAAGCCGCTCGTATGCCCCCTGACGCAACCTCCCACTACAACCAGTCAGATCTTCATGAAGTGTAGGCCATCGAAAGTATAAAAAAACGAAATGAAATATAGATCTGTATTTTAATCAGATTGAAAACAGAAAGAGACCTTCACTAAACAAAAACAAGAAAATGTTCGTATTTAAGTCAAGATTACTAGGTGTTTGTTATAAAGTATAAAAAAACAAAACGAAATATAGATCTGTCTTGTCTACGATATCACCCTTGGTGAAAGTGGACGTAAAACTCCAGGAACGAACGAACGAACGAATAGATGTGTATTTTAATGAGATTGATGTTTATGTTTCAGATTAAAACACAAGAAGACCGTTACAAGTAACAAACAGAGTAATAATACGTCGACAAATATTGTGTCTAATATCGTTAACAAAGTTATATCATCTGTATCTAACGATGGTGATAAATCAACAAACAATTCAAACGTGATTGAAATATCCAATGACATTTCGCGAAATAGTGTTCCGACGTTGTTAGATTATGCGGAGAAGACCTCTCCCATTAATAAACTATCTCCAAACATCAGTCCTACTTCTAATCCCCTGCTATTAAGTGCTACGAGAAACCCTTCAAAACCACATCCTGGTTATACGGACATGTCCAAATCGAAAGACAATTCCAAACACCATCTTGTGTCGGAAATACTACAAAAACCATTATCTGTTGTAACAAGCAATCCGTCACCCAGTTCTCTCTTGTCAAGTTCTCCGAAAAGTCCACATCTCACCAATCCAAATCCGAAAGAAAGCAATTTTTTCATGGAATTCCAAAAACATTTATCAAAACAGTTATCTCCAAACTCTCAAGATAGGCATGGTTTAAGTCCATCCGGTGTGACCTCCTCGGCTGCCTCATCTCCATCAGGAGTATCAGTAAAGCCTCAGTTTAAGAGTCCACAAAATAAAGTAGTTGAAATATCTTCAGTAAACAAAGGACAAAAAGAACAGTTTAAATCCAATGAAGCCATGCAAAAGCAATATCAAGCTCAAATGAATAAAGCCAGACAGGTGGCAGCCCAACAGAAACAGACGGATCAACAGTTATTAGCCGAACTTCAGTTTCAAAAGGCTTATCTGGCCAGTGTTCAAAGTAGTTCAAAATCCACACCACAGATTACCATGAAACAGTTTTCTCCCAAGACCACAAGTCCAGTTCAGAGCCAGAAATCCTCTACTTCAGGTCGTGATCAGATTTTGGCTCAAATTCAAGCAGAACTGGGTCGCAATGAAACAAAGTTGAAATTCAAACAGCCTGAATCTAAAACTTCACAGAAGATAATAGAGGATGCTGTTATGCAACAGATGTTTAAACAACCTCTACCAGCTAGTTCAGGCAATCCACAGAGACCACTATTACAGCAAGCTCTACGTGCTTCACCAGTATCAGCAACAGGAACAAGTCCTACCAATAACAACAACTCGGTACGCCAACCACCTGTTTCTGCACATCACCCACCTAGCTCATCACGGCCTATGACTTCTCTTTTGTCTCCTACCTCTCGAAATATTACAGTTGATCTCACTGCTGAAAGCCCACCTAAAATGAAAACCTCGCCCACTCATATGACTGTTAAGAGAACCTCTCCCACCAATCAACAAAGACATGACATAGGTCATGCTGTGTCTGCACAATCTGCTCACCGTCCAGGTTATGTTGTGACTTCATCAACTGGTAAAGATAGTGTAAGTGATTGCGCTATGATGGGAAAAGTATTCATGCAGCCAATTTCTACTCAACAGTCTCCAGTGCGTCATAGTTCTGGACTGTCGACCAGTGCTAATAAAAATATGCAGGACCAGTGGAAAGCAGCGTTCGGTGTTAATCTTGGAAAAGGAAATTCGTCGGCTTTTAGTCCACCTGTGTCAATTTCTAAAACAGTAGCTAGTAATGTTAGTAAAATGGCTGACCCTACATATATGGGTGCTGCACCAAGTTTGACTTATAATGATGTTTGTGAATTACTCGGTAAGTAATATGAATAGATATAATTATTTTAGTTTTACTTGACAATATTTCCACCACAAATAAATAAAGTTGTACAAGACATTTTAATGCTTCAATATGGGTAGAAAAAACAAAAAGCAGTACTTTAAAGAATGGCAGGCATTAGAAGAATGATATCTGAAATTGTGTCTGACACTTATAGTGATAAGGAGGGTTAGATGGCTGAATGGTTAGTGCGTGCAGGTTGTATCATAAGGTCTGTCATTGAGTCAAACTAGCGTGGTTTCGATTCCCTGGTTGTACGTGATAAGGAGTAGGGTCGCCTGTCCAACCTCGTGGGTTTTCACCAGGTCCTCCCACTGCTAAAGACCCCTACACGCAAGCAAATTATTTGTGGGGGAGCCACGGTGGCTAAGTGGGTAAGATGCTGGCTCACTAGCCTGGAGGTTGCGTGTTTGATCCCTGCATTGGCTGAGAAAGTTCGTGATTTTCTGACGTGGTTTCCCCTTGTCATTGGTGCAGGACGGAGGGCCTGACAAGGACTGTCTACTCATTCGGATGGTGCGAAAACCGAAGTCCTGTGCATACATTGCCGTGCATGTAAAAGATCACTTGGCAGTTGGAATTTGATAAAAGGGTAGGCCATATTGCCGCTGTCTGGGCAAAATTTCCCTCATAGCACACTGTATGGCGTATGCCCGTCTTCATTAGCCCAGTATATTTATTTACTTGATTATTTATAGGTGTACCTTCAGGTCCAACCGGACATCAAGGTAATGTATCATCTCAACAAACAGCTATGTACAGTCATTCTCCGAATCAACAAGTAACATACAGTAATACCGGTCATAATCCAGGTAATAATAATCTTATAAACTCTTCTTTACTTCAAATACAGGTGTAGGTAGGTGGGGGGGGGGGGGGTAATATGGACAACAGCTTGTCATATGACATTTCTTTAAAATGTTATTTGCCAAGACTTCTATAATCTGATTAAAACATAGATTCTATTTGTTTTGTTTTTTTTATAGTTCAAAATTTCATTTTACTTGTCTTTACTACACTAGGATCTGGAAGAGTTGTTATATTACCGGCGTTTTGGTTGAAGTGAGGGATAAGCCAATGAAACAGTCTGTTACAGCGACTTCTTGGCGTGCCATGCATGAAACTATGGGTAAACCACTAGAAACGCCCATGCTGATTGATTTATCAATGTCTGACATCATAGGGTCAAAAGCCGCTCGCACGACCCCTGACACGACCTTCAAGTACAACTTGTCAGATCTTCATGTGGTGTAGGCCATCGAAAGTATACAATAACGAATCGAGATATAGATCTGTATTTTAATCAGATTGAGACTTCTACATCCTCTAAACCTGGAGGTCGTGTGTTCGATCCCTGCATTGGCCGAGAAAGTTCATCTGGATTTTCCGACGTGGTTTCCCCTTGTCAGTGGTGCAGAACGGAGGGCCTGACAAGGACAGCTGTCTAGTCGTTCGGATGATACGAAAAACCGAGGTCCCGTGTATACATTGGAATGCTTGTAAAAGATCCCTTGGCAGTTGGAATTCGATATAAGAGTAGGCGATAGTGCCGCTGCCCGGGCAAAATTTACCTCATAGCACACTGTATTTCGTATGCCCGTGTTCATTAGCCCAGTATAGGAGGAGAACAGTAGGACGTTAAACCCCATTTCTTTTCATTTCATTTCTAAACATGTGCTCCACATCATAAAAAGTTCAGAGATATATTCACACAAAAAAGCTCAGTATTTTTAAAAATTCTGCTTGATTTTATTATTTTTGTTTGAAATTCGTGGGTTTTTTTAAAAACTTTCTGCAATAAAAAAGGACATTGTGCTGTTGATGATAAATAAATTTGTGTTATTAACTCTCCCGTCTCAACAAATCAGTAGATTAAAATAATTTTAAAAAATTGCAAAATAACTGTAAACAATTAATTAGAATATTGAAGAAAGTAAACAAGCTTGTTCTAAATCGTTTTCTTTATGCTTTTATACAACAATAATATCATAATGTTGTCACCTCTGTCTGTCTGTCTGTCTGTCTGTCCAGCATCTATTCGTGATCGTCATTGAGTCAACTGGTGGGGTTTCGATTCCCTTGTTGTACGTGACAAGTAGGGTCGCCTGTTCAACCTTGTGGGTTTTCTCCGGGTCCTCTGGTTTCCTCCCACTGCCAAAGATCCTACGAATAAAATTGAACCAATGACCTAGTTTGTGTCGAGTGGACGTTAAACCCCATTTCTCTCTCTCTCTCAAAAAAGTATATGATGCTGAAGTTGCTGGGGGGGTGTTTTACCTTGCCTGGCAACCTTTGTTTGCTTATTTAGACCTACCAGTACAACAACACTACCATCTTCTACATGCCCCATGTTCTGCACATGATTGGTGGACGGGGGTGGGGGGGGCAATAATTATAACTTTATAACTAATATTTCGAAAGATAACATAACTGTACAGATAAAACCGATCAAATTTTTGATTATTGCTGTCGATATATATGAAATGTTTATTTTGGATTCGACCCTGGATCAGCATCGACCACTGAATATGTGCAGAATGTGGTGAATTTAGATTGTAGCCGTATATGAATGCGTAACAATTTATGCTTGTTTATTGCATATTAGAGCATTACTCTGACCTTTTCCGTTTCATTAGAAATAGTACAGATGTACTCTGTCATAAATCTTATATATATAAAAAAAATTTTTTTTGATAATCCCTACCCTTTTGGTGTGCCATGATGGGAATAGTAAAAAGTTTTTTTTTTATGGTACATGACTGTTAGTTAATGATACATGTAGTAAAAATTCTTAATGTACTAAATGTTGGAAAAGGTCACCATATGTTTGAAATACTAGAAAATGTGAAATTTAAGATAATTCTTGCTTTAACATGTTGACTTTCATACAACACATATTATTAGATCCACTTTTGACTCCTAGCTGTTTGCCAAAACAAGTTATTCTGTATGGATGAATTTCTACGGCACTGGCAATATAACACTTAAACGTCACCAAGAAAGCTTCATAATTTTTTTAAATAATGCAAGTAATTATGTCAACATATCCTTTCCATAAGTATAACACGATCCTGAATGTCAATGTTACCTGCCATAGGTGACTTTCAACATTGGTAACTTTCCGTCAATAAACAATCCGAGACGTTATTTTAGTCCTTCTGCTTATATAAATATAGACGAGAATATGAGCAGAAGGACTAAAATGATGCACAGATTGTTTATGACGGAATGTTACGACTACTCATGGAGAACGGATATATTGACATAATTACTTGCATTATTTTTTAAAAAATTGAAGCTTTTCCGGTGACCTTTAAAAAGTTGTCATTACTTGCATTATTTTTTAAAAAATTGAAGCTTTTCCGGTGACCTTTAAAAAGTTGTCATTTGCCAGACGTTTTGAGTTAATACATTATGAAATAGGTGGCAGGTATGAATAACCAATCAAGTCAACATGTTAAATTATTTATGTAATAAATGCTTACTCTAGTAGATAACATGCTTATATTGCTTTAAAACTAACTTCTGCTTGTAGGCTTGCTTTATCAACAACAGCATCATGGCAGCACAGCTAATATGTTGTCGTCAACTTTACCTTACGGACATTTACCTTATACAGGTATGCTATTGTTGTATTAGTGCATCGTCTGCTTTCTTTATATATGTATCCACTCTAATAGTGGACGTATGTTGTTGTCACCAGGGCTGAGACCAGTTAACGTATAAATGAGAATAACGCGCTAATAGTGGACGTATTTTGTTTTCACAGTTAACTTATTAACTCATTAACGTAAAGATAAGATTAATGTGTTAAAAGAAATGAATTAACGCGTTAACACTCTTGTGATGTCATGTATGCATATTCGGACAGAAAATCATTATACAGACCCATGAAAGGGCCTGCTTCATGCAAAATATTATCCAGAGACCATATTGCCAGTGTCGCTTTAATTTTGTCTGTCGGATCACAAGTCATCGGTCAAAATAACTTGGTCTCCCGTCTCCCTTGAATCAAAGGTCAAGCTCGAAACCATGAAGTTTTTAAACGTTATTCGGTCAAAATGCCACCTAAATCCTAGGTTTGAAATCCAGAATAAAAATAATGATCAAGAATAATTTTGGTTTACTCTCTGAAATAGGTTGGGTACGAAAATGACCATGTTTTAGGAGCTTCAATAATTAACTCATATTAACTTGTTAACTTCAAAATTTTAACACATTAACCAGTTAAATTTAACATGTTAACCAGTTAAATTTAACGCGTTAACCAGTTAAAGGAAATTTTAATGGGTTAACCAATTAAAGGAAATTTTAACTTGCTCTCAGCCCTGGTTGTTACCACTCCTTATTCCATCTATATTTTCTATTCATCACTAATTTTAAACTGAATATACTGAAACTTGCTATCTGGAGGAATGTTCTTCAATGAGTATTTCACTTTCCTAAACTTGTTATAAAGGAGAGTGGTCGATTGTTCTCTCCTAAACCTGTCTTAGACTATTATATAAACTGTCCTCGTATTTACTAATAAAATCTTTGATGGATCATTGTATTTTCTTCGTGCAAGGTCTGCCCCCTATTAAATATTTTAATATTTAACCATTTTGACGTTAAATTAATCCATCACAAAATGTATTCAAATCCAGTAAATATCGTAGACTAGCGATGGTATTGAGAGTTGATTATGGTCTGGATAAGTTAATTTTAATTAATAGGCAGGTCTTGCATGATGTATGTTTAAGTAATTAATATTCGAAATAAAATAGCCAGAATTTTAATAATAATTTTAATTAGTTTATCTTGCATATATTGATTACTATGTACATGTCAATCTGGTTAAAACACAGATTCTATTTCGTTTCGTTTTTATAGTTCAAAATTTAGTTTTACTTGCCTTTACTACACTTGGATCTGGAAGAGTTGTTATTTAACTCGTGTTCTGAATGGTGTCAGGGATAAGCCAATGAAACGGTCTGTCACGGCGAGCTTTAAGCGTGTTTTGCACTGAACTGTGGGTAATCCACTAGTAACATCAATGCTGATTGGTTAATGAAATGTCTGACATCATCGGGTCATAAGTCGGTCTTTTGACCCCTGACGTGACCTATCGCTATAACTTGTCAGATCTTTATGTAGTGTAGGCCATCGAAAGTATAAAAAAAACGAAACGGAATATAGATCTGTATTTGAATCAAATTGTGTACATGTAGGATCTAGCTAGTCTGTTGAATAAAAATGTATATTTGTTTTGTGTCAACAAGGTTTGCAAAGACAACTTCATGTTTTTATTTACACAACAACTGTGCAATCTGGTTAAAACACAGATCTTATTTCGTTTCGTTTTTTATAGTTTAAAAATTTTATTTTACTTGTCTTAACTGCACTAGGATCTAGAAGAGTTTTTATACAACCTGCGTTCTGGTTGATGTGAGAGATTAGCCAATGAAACGGTCTGTTATGGCAAGTTTTTAGCATGAGGTGCATGGAACTGTGGGTAATCCACTAGAAACATCAATGCTGATTGGTTAATCAAATGTCTGAAGTCATAGGGTCAAAAGCATCTTGTAAGACCTCAAACGCGATCTTCCACTACAACCTATCAAATCTTCATGTAGTAGAGGCCGTTGAAAGTATAAAAAACGAAACAAAATATAGATGTGTATTTTAATCAGATTGGGTAAATCTAGATTCAAAGATACACTTTAATCTTGAAGTCTGAATGTAATAACATCAAATTCACCACGATAACATGTTTTAACACAGGAGTGAATGGGGATTGAACTATATCCACCTAATGTGTCTCTCTATATTTTAATGATATTTTAAATCATTGTAATAGTTATTAAATATTCTCAAGTTAAATGTTTATCTGTTTTCAGATACCTCACAGAAACCTCATGGACAGTAATATGCCTTTTGATTGGTTGAATTATCTATAAGAACAGCAGCCATTAACTGAGAAAGAGACGATGCCATATTGACCTCAACATAGTAATAGATGTAGTCGTAACTCTAGTCTAGTTTCCGTACATTCCCCCTATCATATATATTAATATTTTCATGTATTTACTGTTTATAAGAACTATGATCAAACTTGATTCTAATCCGCAATTACGAACAGACCTGGAAATAACGGTTTTAGATGTACATGACAAAATGTCAGGCACTAATGAAATAGTACCTGACATTTTCTGCATTTTCAACTTAGTGCCAAACATGTATTAATAATATCAATAAAAAAGACAAATCAGTGCCGGACAAAATGACAGGCACCAGAGGTTTAGTGCCTGATAAAGCCTGAAGCTGTGGCTGACATTGTCTGTAACAGGTGCCTTATTTCCAGGCTTGATTGTGAATTTGAAATGGTTAACTGAAATATGTTGAGAGATAATCCCCAGATATTGGTATAAATAGGCATAATTTTATTGTAATAATTGTGTAATATTTTACATCAAAACAGAGTAAGTAAATTTATAATTACATGTTGAGGTAGGCTTTATCAATCACACTCATATTTTTGTACCTTTTTATGTGGTCGTATATTGTTGTCGCCCCTGTCCGTCCGGACGAAGAATCCTATAGCTTTTCAATGATTTCCGATAATTACTGCCAGAGATATGGTCCTTGGTCACTCTAAAAAATCTTGTGAACGCTCTGGAGGTCAAAATTAACATCTGATTGATTTTAAATTTATACACAGTGTTATGGTCATAAAATGAAGAAGCCTATTGATTTTCAATGATTTCCGATAGTTACTGCCAGAGTTATGACCCTTGATCACTTTGACGCTGTAGAGGTTGTTAATCAGATTTCAGTGTGTTGTAAATGTTTCCATTAGTTAGAAAAGAAATAATATATGACAACCCTTGTTGAATGCCCGGACGACTTAGCTGCTGTGGGTGTATGTTTCATTGCCTGGCAACTTATCTTTTGACTATTTAAAAACAAAATTCTTGGTCTGATTTTTTACGGCTAAAATTTGTGACATGATTCTAGCCTCTGATAATGGATGATCAAGTTGTAGAAAATGTCAGATATTTTATTTCTATATAAAATTGTACGTACATGTAGTTGAACCATTGGCAATACAGAACACTTCATTTAATAACAATGTCTAAATGTATATAGGGTCTGTGCTCAAGGGAAGCAGGGACAGAGATACTTAAAACAAATAGTTTACAGTTTGGGGTTGTAAATAGTAACAGGTATTATGAAATGCTGATGGTTTAACTAATGTTATGTTTGAGTATTATAGAAACTTTTGGCAAGTGTGTCCGTGTTGATTTTGCGTGTGACATCATCAATGCATGTGTATTTCTCATACGTGATACAGCACTAAATATTTTAAAAAGCTCAGTGACTGTCGAGCGACTTTACTGCCTTCAGGATTTTGTAGGCTAGACACTTGACTAGTAGCGATGGTGATCTTGATAGATATCTGCCATCATGCTGTAATAGAGCTCAGCTGAGCTACCCATATGTACGTGGCGCGAAGATCTGCATAAACTCTAAAACAACATTGATGCAACGTGATATGGATGGGAAAAATTCCACTTGGCAAAAGTCTCTAATATTTGGTTTAGAGTTGAGGACTAGATTTAGAATATATCTTTATCAGAGGTTGATAGAATGAAAAACCCATCTTTTACTGTATAACTACTTTGTGAGGATATCAGTTCTAGTATTGATTATGTTGCCATATTTGTCTATATGTATATTTTTATATGTTGTCTGTTTCACTATATAAATTAGTTGACAGAAATTAATTAAACCAAATAATAACCTGTGAAACCTTGAATAATACTCCCATCTTTCTTTAAAATGCCACATTTTCGTTCTTCAGTTATTCTCGTCTTGTATATTTTATAAATTAGATTGTTTTTGTCATGTTTTTGTTAATCTTCAATAAAATGTAATTGAATTGTAAATAATGGACCTAATAGAATAACCAATGAAACTTATTATGCAACTTAAATAATAATAATAATAATAGTGGTTTGTAGTGAAGAGATAAGAATGAAATATTTTTCTTTACCCATAAGTGATGATGAATTTGTTAAACCAGTTGTTTAGAAAAACTTTGGGTGAATAAATGCAGACAAATTTGAATAAATGCCGTTTTGTTATTTTCTCATTGGTGGATGAGCCTAAAGAAGGTGGAGGTTGCCTTGTTAGAGGAGGCTGAAGAAAGCTGGGGGTTGCCTTGTTAGAGGAGGCTGAAGAAAGCCGGGGGTTGCCTTGTTAGAGGTTGAAGAAAGTGGGGGTTGTCTTGTTAGAGGAGGCTGAAGAAGGCCAGGGTTGCCTTGTTAGAGGAGGCTGAAGAAAGCCGGGGATGCCCTGTTAGATGAGGCTGAAGAAAGCGGGGATTGCCTGGTTAGAGGAGGCTGAAGAAGCCAGGGTTGCCTTGTTACAGGGAGGCTGAAGAAAGCCGCGGTAGCTGTTCCCCAAAATTTTGGTTTGAATATGTTTATTTCAGTATACATAAGAAATAGTATTTCTGGTGGTTGAATTTTCAATACCCCCCACCCCCCAAAACACACACACAAACACACATGACCAAACAAACTCTCTGACTGCAAAATGTTGATCACAACAATGGGACATATTGTTTTCTTGTTGCTTTTGCATGAGGAACAAGAACCCCTCAACCCCCGCCCTATATTTATATGTGTGGTGGGGTGGGGTGGGGTGGGGTGGGGGGTCCCCACCGAGTAATATTGAGTTATGTGGAACATGCTAGAGTTGATTTGTAGCACATTTTGACGCTAGTTGAGTATTATGATTATAATATTGATAACCGCATTGAAACCATGGGATTTTTTGCAGTTTTCGAGGGGACGCAGAAACCCAAATCTATGACGCACAACTTGTCATTGCGTCCCTCTCACTTAGTCTGTGCAACAAGGAAGCAAGATGTCCCATTTTTGTGATCAAAATTTTGAAGGGAATCTTCTGGATGACCGAGACTATAAAGGTAAGCCGCCACGCAATAGAATGAAATTAACATTAAAATACATGGGCAAAAATAGTTAAATTTTGTGTTTAAAATGCAGTTCTCTCCCCTTTACTACCCATGGTCACTAAATATGATTCTTATCCAGTTGGTCTGACTATATCTACCCTTTTGATAGATTACAGAAGGCGCAACGTCAGTAATTGTGTGGTAACTATTGCACCTTTTCTAAAAACACATCTGATTAAAATACAGGGGCCTGTTTCACGAAATTTTAACTAAGATAAACTCCAAATTTTAGTAATTTGATTGGATAATATTAGATTCATTTTAGATTCAATTGAAGTATCTACTAAAATTTGATTTTATCTTTAGTTAAAATTTCGAGAAACGGCCCTGATCTATTATTTCGTTTCGTTTTTTTATACTTTCGATGGCCTCTACTACATGCAGATCTGACCAGTTGTGGTGGGACGTCACGTCAGGGGTCATAAGAGTGGCTTTTGAACCTATGACGTCAGGCATTTGATTAACCAATCAGCGTTAATGTTTCTAGTGGGTTACCCACAGTTCCGTGCAACTCTCGCCAAAAACTTGCCGTAACAGACCGTTTCATTGGCTAATCCCTCACATCATCCAGGACACGGGTTATATAACAACTGTTCCAAATGCTAGTGTAGTAAGGACAAGTAAAACGAAATTTTAAACTATAAAAAACGAAACGAAATATAGATCTGTGTTTTAATTAGATTAGCGCAGTGACAATAAATAATGCTTTTGTTTTTGTTTTAATTTAGTTTGAACTGTTTGTCATCCAGTTTTTCATTTCCGTTACACATGTTTCAATTTTCATACAAGACAACTGAAATTAATAATACTTGGTAAACATCCGTTTTAAAGACCAGGTTACCAAGTAGTATCAAGATAACACTGGTCTCAATACCATTCCTTTGGGGATGCCACGGGTAAGTGTGACTGTGTTCTACCGGAAAGATATGATGAAAATCAATCTAAATCAGGGCCACTGCTTTCATACTCGGATTTAAGTCTGATGAGTAATTTACTGTGATCCAGCGTATCGAAGGCATAAGAAAGGTCAAGTAAGATAAGCTTAAACATAGAACCTTTGGCTACACCGCTTCTGACAATGGTGAAAACATAGTTTAGAGCGGTTTCTGTCCTGTGAACACTTCTTTGAGCAAGCTGGTACTTGCATATTTAACAACCCTTTCTAAGATTTTCAGAAACAGTTTTAGGAAGGTCATTGTCATGTATACAATTGATATAAATTCTTGTGAGCACATCAAACTTCTTTTGTTTTCTTTTTCCACCTCGTGTACCCCTCCTTTGTACGTTTAGTAATGTTAATGTTGAGGTCACATATAACACTGAACAGATCTAGATTAAAGTCTCGGGGTCACGGTGGCTAAGTGAGTAAGACGATGGCTCGCTAGTCTGGAGGTCGGGTGTTCGATCCCTGCATTGGCCGAGAAAGTTCATTCAGATTTTCCGGCGTGGTTCCCCCCTTGTCAGTGATGCAGGACGGAGGGACTGACAAGGACAGCTGTCTAGTCGTTAGGAATGGGACAGACCACCAACGTGCCGAGTACACATTGGCGTGCACGTAAAAGGTCCCTTGACAGTTGGAATTCGATATAAGAGTAGGTCGTAGTGCCGCTGTCCAGGCAAAATTTCTCTAAAAGCACACTGTATGGTATATGCCCGTCTTCATCAGCCCAGTTCGGAGCAGAACAGTAGAACGTTAAACCCCATTCCATTTCATTTCTGAATAAAGTCTCGATGCGTCATTTTAAACAATAGGCAAACTAGAATATAATGAAAGATGACACTCTCCACACAAATCTCGCTATACTGCAAGGGGAGACAACTCTGTTTGGGAGATTGGGAGGCAGACCACCATTAATTTCCCCATTGACTTCAATGTTAATTCTGGCCTCTTTGCCCACCTCCAACTTTTCCCCAAATTTTCGTTGGGCTGAATGCTTTTCACAACAGACAGAGGAACAAATGGTCATGTCTTTGCACTAAAATTTGTATGAGGTTGACCACCAAAATTTTGAGATACACAAACTTGAAGAAGCATACTAAAAACATGTAACTAGTTGCCGTACATATCGCCGTAGCTAACCTGATAACCCTCTTATCCTTCCGCCTCAAAATCATGAATATTTACCAAAACCTGGCAGAAAATGTTAATTCAAACCCTCTTCGTCCATTCTAGACCAAAAAATCAACACAAATGAGCATGGAAAAGGGGAGAAAAGAGAGAGAGAGAGAGAGAGAATTGCTATAAATAGACGAACTACAATTCGCCTACACATGGTTTAATTTAATTTACAAAGTTATGTTGAATTTAAATTCTAACACTATCGTAGTGATAACAGAGATCAGTTTCATAAATATATGATTTATTTACATCCGGAACAGAATATAAAATAGCTACATAAATACAACAGGGACATAATATTAAACAGGAACTAAACTACACTAGGACCATAAAGAATAACATGGTACATTAAGACAACCACTCCGCTCCTCTGCCACGGCAGCGCCTGAACTAGGGTGAGTAAATTTGCTGGTCTCGTAGTCTCTAAGTCAATATTATCCATAATATTCGAAATTAAAAACACGAATTATAATTCAATTTTGATATTGATGTTGTTATCTTACCGTGAAAATATGGGCTCTGATATCCAATGTTAAGATGCAACGAAAATTTTAAAATCGGTTCCCGACATTTGGTTCTCTGTAGTCTCGGCCGTCATTTGTAATGAACAAAGCAAAACATATCAATACGGAGCTAAATAAGAATGGCTGCTCCGCAAACGGCAGAAAGATAAAGTTGTAGACTGGACTAACAGACGCAAACGAATGCCATTTAATTTGGATTGCTGACTGTTTCATCGAACATAACTGATTATAGTTGGGGAGATAGTCGGACGTTAATCTCAAAATCGTTGACAAAATTACAAAATAAATTGTAGGAATGGACATTGCGAAAAATCCACAATGAAATGATTAAAAAATCCCCAAGGATTTGGCGCCGCTCTTTTCCAAGCTGTCCGCGAGCCAGAGACTTGGTTAACGTGCCAGCGCCTTACACACTGAGCCAGCCATGGTTGGAACCTAGATAAGAAACCTCATCTCTCAACCCTCCGTGTTTCGAGATAAGAGATGGTGATATATAGTTCCATGTGGCCAATCCCAACGGGGATAACATCGGGCTTCAGTAAGCAAAATTGACAACATTTTTCATCAAAACAACGATTGATTTTTGTTATTCATAATAATTCTGCCATATTCAACTACATTTAAGCATATAATCCTACCAAACACAGGTACAAATCATGTCTTTTTAAATCGAAGCGATAATAGCCTGGCTCTCCGGCATTTTAAATTTGACATCCTTGACGCCACGAAGGCGAGCGGGGCGTCGTGTACAACAGCCAATCAAAGTACTAACCCGATATGAACTACGCAGGAATAATACACCGTAATTATGAATGTCTGTATCAATGTTGATAAAAACAACACTTTATTTAATTTATTGACAATATTTGCAGATAAACGAAAGTTGTTGCACAAGAGTGGGGTGCGTATGTTTAATAAGTTCTAATAGTATAAAATTAACTTATTTTCAAGATGTTACATGCATTAATTGTGGTTTAAGTAATATTATATTGAAACAACACGCTTGGCACATCAAAGGATGATGTCCCATTTGTATTTTAATAATGAAATTAAGTTTGCCAGGTGAAACTATGGCACCCAATCGTAGCTAAAACTAAGCACATCAGTATATCTCAACGTTTTTAGCTACTGAATACCAAATCTTGTAATATATATAATACTGTAAAACTTGACAAAACTATTTGTTAAAAAATGGAAATGAAAGACAACTACGCCGGAAGATAATTCCAGTAATCACGAAATGTAAAGTTTTTCCAATGTCTTATTTGGAAGGGTAATTATACCTAACGTACGTACTCATTTCCGAATAAAGGACAAGCTCATTTCCGTGGAACAGCTGAGAACCTAGTGCCGCTTATTGAGAGGAGAATACCAGGCGTAGAGTCGATGTTACGTACACATATAAAACGGACTTGTGCAATATTGAAAT